TCGCTATTGATTGCACCTTGCATCCTCCCACCCCTTTTGCCCTCCAACCAGATCCCCTCTCTGCAACCCTCGCCTAGCCTCGCCTCGCCTCTCCTTGCCACCCCTCGCCTCGTCTCGCCTCGGTTCGTCCATCCTGACGGTTCACCCCTCTAACCCCCTTTACCTACCCTCACCAACCCCTCCGCCACCGAACCTTTCTCTTTTCTTCTCGCACCAAATTCCAGCACATCCAAACTCTTTCCACTCGAATCCGCGTCCAGAAATGTCTGGGACGCGTGCATCTGTCTTCGATACAAATTGCAACTGCACTTTTTTATTACGAACGATAACCACCCCGATTAATTGTTAGACGATGTCCTATTTCCTTGGATTTTCTCGCCTTTGTATCGTTATTTTATCGGGTCATCTCCTAATAGGCCAACTGCCTACGTTTTTTCTATTATCATTTTCTAAACAATAGACGAATAAATAAATAGGAAGATAAGTAGACGGCAGTCGTCGAGTTTGACGTCAATTTTCTTAATCAGTACGGCCGAGTTAAAAGGAGCGATCGGAATTGAAAATTGTTAAACGAGTACAAGAGTTCACAAGATCTTTCCGTCCCTCGCGACTGGCAACCTGGTTTTGTCCCGCGACCGGCCGAAATAACACCGCTTATTTTTACCACAGAGATATCGAAGAACGTCGCGACGACGCTCGTTGCGGTCCAGTTTGACGTCAATTTTGTTAATTAATTCGCTTCCATTAGGACGATCGATCGAAACTTGGGACGACGCGTCGTTGGTTACACTTCGCCTACCACTAGTATCCGCTTTAAACGCTTAGATACCTCTCCTTCCTACCTTATTCGTCGAGAAATATCGATATTTTGATTTTTACCGCGAAAGAGAAGAAATGAAATGAAAGGGGATAAACGAGGACATTGTTTTCGGATAACGTAGTGCGAGTGCATTTGGTAGTCGATGCATCACGTGCAATCGTAAAAGCGCAAGGTTTCCTGCCGTTGTTACCGCGAAAACTTCACTCGCTGCATCGCGATGCGCGTTCTTACTAAAATATTACCGATACGTGCATTATTGCGCAAACGTGCCAGCCGTTTTTCCTCGATACAAGAAAACCGAAGGTTCTTTTACGAGAATGTAAGTCGCAGAAATCACTGAGCAATCCAGTCAATTATTTTCACGACGAAACGTTTCCAGAGTAATTTTCGTCAAAGCTTAAGCTTCAAAGTTTCTACGGTAAATAAACAACGTTTCCTAACTTAAAGAAGCTTCCTAACTGGAAAGATTTCCGTTTGAAATCGCGTCTGTTTAATTAACGAAGAGTCAATTATCGCGGCAGAAACGATGAGAAATTGGTGACAAAAGAGAAAGGCGGTATCGGAAACGGGGCATTCGAAGGAAACACCCAGTTCATTCGGATAATAAGGAATAGCCCGACGTAGTGACATTCGCCAATTATCTAAAGTGTCCACCTACATCGGATTCTAGACGAGAAGTGAGACACCAACACCGTCTCCTCTGAATAACCTGTGTATGCGCAACTTGCACCAGACACATTACCTATACACATCTATATCTCATATCTAATACATCTATACGTGTACGTGGAAATGTGCATACATGTGTGGAACTAACGAGAAAGAGGAGTGGCCGTACACTGCATCGGACAGCTTGCAACTACGTATATTATACATCGCTAATAATGCTGTCCAACGAATTTCTACTTAAACTCTTCCGATATCTGCTTTGATTCGCTTGTTTTATTTATTTATTTATTTATTTTTTTTCTAAACGAATTTGAAGTATTTATCGGATGGCAAGGATCTCCGGTTAGGTTCGCGTTTAATTCGTAAACGTTTATGGTGGTTGAAAATGAGTCGTAAGCAAACTAGCTGCCATAACCGAGTGCTTTCAATGCAACGGTTGACTATACTTGACGTTTAATCATTAAACCAGTTTGCGCGCGTCAACATGTTCGTACGCGTGTCTACATACATAGAAGGTTGGTCAAAAGCTTGAAATCTCTAAGTAAACGGTGGATTACCAGGATTTTCGAAGGGTATGGATAGTTTTAGGTAACTTCCACGTACGTCAAGTTGCCAGACAGCCCATCGAGCAGACAGAGTTTGAATAGTCGCAGTTCGCGCATAGAAAATCACCGAATAATCTCGATTAACCGGGTGCAAAGAACACCTGCTGCGAAATTAAGTCGAAGATAAATAGAACGAAATGGTGCAAGTTGCAGTTGACGAGTTTCCGCTCGATTAACTCGATTACCAGCTCTCCTGGTGGACAGCTGCGTCGAATCTCGGTGAATAATTTTGAATAAAATTGAGAAATTTCGGTTTCTCGTATTTCGAAATCGAACTAATCGCCGTCGAACAAACGATCCGTCGTTCGAACAGCAGTTTCGAAAAGGCACATCGAGCTATTAACAAGGTTACGTCTCTCCCCCTGTGTCTGTCTCTGACGACACGCGTGCACCCTTCACGCATTTGCTCACCCACCTACACACGTGTCACACGAGCGCGCCAGCATACGTAGGAAAGGTAAACGATGACTGGCTGTCTGCGACAGACAGCAATTGCAACTGCACCTGAAATCTATGAACTCTATACGATGCACCTCTTGCGCCTGATGCAGAATGTTAGGGAGAGGAAAAAAAAGGGTATTCTATTGTAATTAATTTTGATAAACGCTTAAACGATAACGAAGAGGACAGGTTACGCGGTCGTGGACTTTCCTTTGTATCTATAAATTTCTCTCGGTCCACCTACGCGGTTCCCCTTACCAACGCCACCTTACCAACGGGGTACCGTTTCGCGATATTTCTTTCTCGAGACGCCAACGAGACTGCGACGTACCCCTGTGTCCGGTAATCCGATCGGTCGCCGCCTCGATTTCGCATAAATCTCTGTTACAAGGAACAAATACATCGACCGGTTTAGCCAACACGTTTCCACGAACCTCGCCTACCTTTCTACCATGCCCTTTTTTTTTTTTTTTTTTTTCCTCCACCTTCAGCCAGCTTTTAAATTTAACCATTTCTATCGTTAATAGAGAATATTTTATACCGAAAAGATAGATCTACGTCGTGTGTAATGAAAATTCAATTACGGGTTAAAAGTGACCTAGTATCGGTCATTATCGTTTAATGATCGCTGCGTCAGCTGTGATAATAATACCGTGCCGGTAGGGCTCAGCCAAAACCGCTCGGCTGCCTTCTGTTATTACATTATTTTTCTCGTAAAACATGATATACGAGGCTAATTTTGAAGAAGAAGATGAAGAAGATTGGTATAATGGAGTAGTAGTAGAACCGGTGCGAATAATCGATGTCGTATCAATTGCGTAACATTCGTTGGGATACACGACCAATCTACAGTATGACAATGTACGCGCGTTAAATGGCAAAAGCAAGGGGTTGTTAATTTAGCTGAAAGTGGCGGCGGAAAATTGCCCGCGGCTGATCGTTTCGGATTGGCGTATTAGCGGTGCGAGGCCTGGAGCGTTAAGGGTTTGCCAGGCAGCCGCGCAGACAGAAATTTGCGGAAGAAGAGGCTGCTAGAGCGACGCTGATGCCAACTCGAGCACGATATCGATTTAAACGATTACCACAGCCATTCGTTCGCCCCATTTGCGGCTCGACAGTTAATGCCGAATTCGAATGTCCTCTATGTTTTCCAACTCGTTCGCGGCCCCGACCATTTCATCCCCCTCTATTTCCTCTTACTTTTAAATCTTTAACTCGTTGAATATTCAATGAACGATTAGACGGTTCGATGAAGGGAAACAAGAAACTAAAACCGTAGCGATTGAAGCAACTTACGAAAAAAAAAAATATATAAAGATACAGCGGATTTGGAACGCGTGCTAGATATTTTTTTTTTTTTTTCATCGGGCAAAGGGTTTGATCGTACAGAAAAAAAATAAAGGACTAATTAATTAATTCTGTACTCGTTCGATGAAATTTGAAGGATAGTTGACCCAGAAATACAGGAGAACCGGAGCGGATGAACGAACCCCGACGACGACGTTCAGATTGTTCATGCCACGCGGACCGTCTTCTTCGATGGAAAAGTGTATTTAATTGACACGGTTAAATTGCGAACGCGTTGAAATTATACTTAACGGGTCGCTGAACAAGTCGCTTCTAAATAATAATTTCGTTTGAAACTTTAGGATCTCCATCGACTATCACCGAAAAATGTTAGTTAAACATCATTCGGTCTCGTTGAATGGTATCGAAGGAAAGTAAGAGAAAAGAAAAGTAAAGAAATTCTTTGTTAAACGAACAACCAACTTCTCGCCAGTTTGAACAGGGTAAATGGATTGCTTGGCAAACTTGTAATCCGAACAATCAACCAGCGTATTCTTACCGTCAGAACGTAAACGGAAGTTGCAGTGACTAACCGGAAACACAGCATCCTATGATACACCGAGAAAAGGAAAAAAAAACTAGAGTCTAATAAGGCGTAAACCGTGTAGAAACTAAGAGGATCGCAACGTGCAACGAATTTTCAAGGGGACCAGAGTATCCTGTTCTAAGACAAAGACTCCTTGCCAAGTATTTCCAGGAAGGAAACACTCGATGAGGAAAGAAGTAGGAGGATAGGAGAGAAAGAAGAAGAAAAAGAAGACGAGGACAAATTGAATCCGTTCCTAATTGCAGAGCTTTCTGGTTGAAACGCTTATTAGCGTTGATTGCAAAAGAGGTCGTATAGGCCGGGGGGTCAATTTAACACGAGGGGCTAAGTCGGTCCGCTTGCCAAGTGCAGTGCGACAAGATCTCGAAACAAAGGAGTTGATTCCTATTCTAACCCGCCTGTCTACTTGCCAAATCGTTTCCATCTTCCCCCTTCTTTTTTTTCTGTCGAATCGTGTAGAAATCTTTTTCACGATTGCCTGAAGATACAAGTGGTTGGATGCGATATATGCGAGCGTAGGTAGGATTGAGAAAAAAAAAAAAAAGAGAACGTAAGAAAATAGAAAACTTACCTTGCAATGGGTGCAGTTGAAGATGACCGAATAGGGCTGAGCACAGTCGTATCGCGCCAGCACTTCCTCGAATTCACAATGCAATCTCGCGGCTAACGCATCGACGAGCAACAGCTTGTCCAGGGCATCGGCGCACTTCTGGCCACCGTTTAGCACGTTCTCGAGCGGACCGCCCTTGCCGGGTGCCAGGGCGTTGACCACCGCGTGCTCGCAGCAGTGCCGCAGACGCAACCCGCTCATGAACCAATATCGATTCTCCCTCGGGGTTAAAAAACTTGGCGTACTGGTCCGGCCAAAATCATCCCGACAGATGTCCCTCTTATGCGACTCCTCGAGATAAAAAAGGCACTGTTCCGGAGCCATCCGTACGCCATCCCCAATCTTATTCTTAATCATCTTATTCTCTTTATTCTGTCGCTGGATCTGTACACCGGCAGCAGACTCTTTCGGCTTGCTTCGTCTCGACCACGACGTTCTCTCGATCACCTCGAGAAACTCTTTACCGGCATCGATCGTGCAAGCGATCGGGCAGTTCTTCGGGACTTCCGGTGGACCGCAACTACCTTGAAGATCGGCCGGAGCTGGTCCCGCCAGGTCGCAGGCCGACAACCAAGGATTTATCTGGTTCACCTCCCAGCTGTATTCGTTGTAAGGATGTACCGTTTCCGACTGGAGAACTGCCTGGTGGCTTTGATACGATGATTCCTCAATTTCGCGTTCCTCTTCTTTTCGTTGATCATCGTACCAGCGACGACGATGCGCGTTGTTACCATCTCTACCGTACTCGGCGTCCTGAACTAATTGCTCCTCCGTTTGACGATGCCGTTGTTTCTGTTGCTGCTGCTGTTGCTGTTGCGACGCGACACCCGACGAAAACAAGGATGAAATTTGCGTGGAGTTGTGCTGCAAAAGATTCTCAGCGGGACCGAGAGATGGACCATGGGCGAAAGGAGTGGTCGAGCAGACCAGCGGCCAAGCCAATAGATACATGACGAACAAGAATCCGTACTTTCGACCGTACGAATTTGAGAGTTTCGTTGATCCGCTGGTCGCCAACTCTTTCTCGTTCTTGCAGCTTCCGTTGGTAATCGGCTCCTGGAACCGGGCAGTGTAATTGTTCTCGCTTCTTCCGTTTCCATCACCGACGCGCAACTTATCCCTTTTCGGATCGTTCCTGCTCCCGAATCCATCGGAATCCTGTCCGAACTGGCAAATTGGCGGCGGGTTACGCGGAACACTGTCATCGTTCTCGTCATTCTGGGCAGTGTAAGCAAACGCGTCGACGTAAGGAACGTTCGTGACGTCCACGATAGGTATCGGGGATTGATCGACTGGTCTAGCACGATCACACTTTCCTCTCGTTCTCGTTCGGTCGGTGTTGATTCGATCACGAGGCGGCCGTGACCCCGTGTCTCGGAACGTCGAGGAAAAACGCTCGAGCCGAGCGTGGTCGTTCTCTTCGTCGTCGCTGTCGTCGACGTCACCGTTCCCTCGGTCCGCATCGTGACCGTTGCAGCGACGAAATCGCGACACCCGACGTTTTCTCCGTTCGAAAATAATCGCGAACGTGGGAATGCGCGCGCATGTCTCGCTGCGGTAAACTGAACTGTAAAAGACGCGAAAGGCAGTGGCGTTTCTGAATTCGGGCCCATTCTCGAGCGACGACGCGAGTCGACGACGATCGGTGACGATGCTTCTTCCACTTGTGCCGACGGTGGTGACGAAAGTATCGTAAGGCCGATAACGAGGCGGCTGCTGCTTCTTCTCTCGAGCGGAGCAAGATTTTCGTTGGCCGAGAATCTTGCAAGTCCGTAGGACGAATAGGAAACTGCTGGCGAAAACGTCAACCTTGGCTCGAAGGTGAAAGAAACGGATCTGCGCGACGGAAGGATCGCGGCGAGGATAATGGAAACGCAAGTAGTAGTCGGCATCGTCGTCGTTCCCGTTGGTTCGCTCGTGCGACGTAGGTGGTGGTCCCGTGAATCCGGCCGGATCGAACCGCATGGGCGCAAAGTTTGAAACGCTAGGGTTCCTGCTTCGTCCCGAGGATCGTCCGCGTCGACGATCCACGCCGCACAGCCAGCACGCGGTCCAGCCTCCGGCTCGGTGTTTCGTCGATGTCGGTGCCGAGGACGATCCGGATTCGCGGTACCAAATGTTTTCTTGCCGTTCCAATCGAGTTTCTGCTCGTCGATCGATCGCATAAGGCCCTGCATCGCTGCCAGCAAGGATCCAGGATTTCTTTCGATCCACCTGTACTCCTTTCGATTCTTCTTCTCCTCTCGGTTTTCTTTTCCCTGTTCGTTGCCGGCGTTCTTCTCTCGTCGTTGGCGATGACGTTCGTGGTACCTCGGCGAATCCAATATCCGTATCCGTATCCGTCCGAAATTCGCGATAGCCGGAACGCGCGTACCTCGCGGTTTTTCCGTTGTTCGCGGAATATCCGATAGACAGAGGATCGAATCCGAACGAATACACCGAGAAGTCGGATTCGCTGCGGACGGTCGAGACGATCTTCTGTTCGATACGGCTCGTAAATGGTGTCAGCCCCGCTCGTAGGTATCCCGGAGCCGATAGCCAGGTGACAGCTGTCCGAGCGGCCCGGGTCGGCGGGGCCCTTAGAAGTCCCCCTGGAGCAGGCGATTCCCTCCACGATCTCCTCGACGATCCGTGAAGACCGATGCGATCGCCGCGCGTAATCCGATCTCGAGACGCAATAGAGCGTCGGTTGCGGAAACGGTAGGAACGGCCAACTCGCCGAACGAGAAATCGAGCGACGATGAGGATGACGATACCGATACCGATAGCGATAGCGGCAACAAGAACCGCGTGACCGCGCGTTCCACGCAACCGGAAGTCTCGTGCCACCGTTGCCGCCGCCGCCGACGCAGCCAAATATCCACCGTTTTCTCCTTTTTCTCCAACCCCGCCACCTGCACCACCTGTACAACCTGCACTTCCTCGTGTTCCAGCACACCTTTCTTCTCGTTCTCGCCTCCTCCGTTCTTCCGATCCCGATCCCGATCCCGATCCCGATCCCGATACCGATCTCGATGCCGATCGAAATCCTGATTCCTCGCTGTTTCCCTCCTGATTCGATTCCGTACGCTCTCCTGCCAGGTGGCCGCCACTTCCGACGTTGTCGCGACACGGTAACCAGGCCAGTAATCGCAATTGTCGAGCAGCAAGGTGACGGTAAATATCGCGAGCACGACGATTCCTGCTGTCGCTGTTGCTGCTGCTGCTGCTGTTGCTGTTGTTGTGGTTGCTGCCGTGCCAACCACGTTGTACAGCACGGCGACGGCAACGGCGACCGCGACCGCGATCGCGGCAGCGAGGACCACCGCGTCGGAGACAACGGAGAGCCGCGATCTCTCGATCGGTGAAAGCACCTGCACACCGTACTCCTCCTTCCGAGGCTCACCACCAGCTCCCGATACGGGGCACCGAGGTTCATGCTGCATCCTAAACGCCCCGCTGTGCTCCGTTTTCTTCCTACCCTCTGCACCTCACCGATGATCACGTTTGCCGGCGACGCGGCAACGCGTCCCACCGCGGCAACAAAGACTCAAACGGCCACGATGCTGAAGGCCTACGCGGAACCGTGTTCGGTTCGCTCGTTTCTTGCCATTGCGTGGACTTCATGGACACACCCCGAGCTGGTACGGGCGGGCAGCCGAGTACCCACCTTTCCTCGATCCTCTTACCTAACCTTCCGTCACTGACCTCGTTGCGCTTCTTTTCGTTCCAGCCGAAATTTTACCGAATCCACCCCCCCAATCCGCACCGACACCGACACCGACACCGAAACCGACAACGACCCCGACCCCGACCTTATCCACCTAATCCATCACCAACCCCTTCCTTTTCTTCTTCTCTTCCTCTTCCTTCCCTTCTCTCTTTTCCTTTTTTCCGCTTCACCGGCCGGCCCTATTTCGCAAATTAAAAACACGAGTCACCGAAAAATTCCTTGGTCGGTCAGGAAAGTGAGGTTATATCTGGTATCCTTGAGGGATGATAACGCGCACCAGGATCCGCGCGTATGAGGACGCGCGCGCGCGCGGCTGAGCGCGCGCACGGCTCCTCTACACCGTGACGACGAGAACTCTGTGAACGATAGACGACCAGCAGACCGTTGAATTTCACCTCCTTATCAATTGCACATCGACTCGTCCCGTTTCTTTCCCGTAACCTCGCAGCCTCGCCACACCAATGTTCCTTTCCTCTTCTTCTTTCTCCTTCCTTGATTCCTCGTTCACGATTCCTCGACCAACCACCTCCTCGCGAACTCGACGATTCCACTCGAGCCGTTTCGATACGCGCGGCGCACTAGACCAGCCACGGAAAACGGACGGAAAACGCGTCCGATCGGTTAGTTCGCCACCACTCTACGATCCCTCGTCGCTTCTTCCTTTTTTATCACTCGGTAGGATCCTTCGATCCGCGATGACTACGTCTCCTGCGGCCAACGCGTCGATGGGCTCGTCGGTGTTCTCCTCGTGGCACCGTGCCGTCTCCACGCACCAAGGTGGCGCACCTTGGAGAACGAAAACGCGTTGTTACAGTCGCGTCGACTCACCAACCACTCTCTATCTCGCGTCGTTGAAAAAAGGGTTGCACGCGCGAGACAAATCTAGGGGTACGAGTCGTATCGATATACGCGCGCGCCTTTTTCACTGCAACCACGTTAACGCGACAACCTGACTAGGCATTGACTCGGACTTTTTTATTGTTAAAACGAGCAACCAAAGAAAACTTTAGAGACGATAGAAAGACGTTGAGGGTGGAGAGTACTGGCGTGTGGAAAGAAGGAGAGTGACGGGGCGGCGTTCCTGACTTTCCAAGCAAAATCCGACGAATCCACTTTTCGCGCCCCCGAACCAGATACGTCCCCTGCACAACGACGGTGGCGCAGCGTCGTGATCGCGATTCGAGAAACCTCGAAATCGGTCTTCGATTTATCTCCCCCTCCCTTCCTCTCTAGCTTTCTCTCTCTCTCTCTCTCTCTCTCGCTCGCTCTCTCTGTCTCTCTGTCTCTCTCTCTCTTTCTCTCCCCTATTCTTCTTTACTTCGCTTCGTTTCCTTTTTTCAGCCAACTTCGATACACGATCCCGCGTTTATCGTCGCGCGAACAGGCTGCCCTGCAACGCGGACGGGCAGTCGTACCACGCACGCACGCACGCACGCACGCACGCACGCACGCACATACACACTTTGCGGGGTCGTGCGCGTGACACGGAAACACCGACCCCCTAGCCGCGCACCAGCAACTGCGCGCGGATCGGATAACGGACGTACCGAGAGTCCCTCTTCGAGAGACGACGGAAACTTCGGTGCGCCTTCGTTCTCTCGGTCTGTCTTTCCGACTCGCGCGCGCGCACACGCACACACGCGCCCAATTTTCTCCTTCCCTCTACACCCCTTCTAATCCACCCCCCCACCATTTAGCCTCGCTTTTCCCATCTCCTTCCCGCTCTCCTTTTCCACCATTTTCCTCTTTTACCTAACATCCCTTCGCTCCTCCACGTCTCCCAACCCCTATCGTCTATTTCTCTCTAACCTATACCACCCGTTCCTTCGGCTATCGTTATCGCTTTCTAACCCCCTACCACCTTTCTCCTTCGCTTTCTCACCCTGTCTCTCTCTCTCTCTCTCTCGTGCACGCACTTGTGGCAGTTGTAATCTCGGCTGGATCTCTTGCGCGCGCTTCTCTCTCGCTCTCTCTTTCATCCGTTTCTCTTCTCCTAAACGGCCACGATTCGTAGGGTGGATTTCTTAAAAATACCAACTGTGCCACCCTCGACGCTCAACAGTGATTATTTGCTCGTGCGTGAAACGCGAACGAAAGTTAACGGGGGTACCGATCTTTAACGCGCCCTCATCGTTTGGGGATCGACGGTACCGTTGGGAAAACCGAAACCGTCCCGCGTACCCGCCATCTTCCTTTTTACCATTCCCATCCGGGCCAGCTTTAAACATCCTTCCGATGCCTATTTCTCTTTGCCTCGATTCTATTACCCTTTCGTGCCGTGCCGTGCCGTACCGTTACGTTCCCCTACATCCACGACCCTCGGTGCCCTTGCCACCAGCTCCTCCCTCTCTTTCCTTCAACCTTTCGCGCAACACTCCCCTAACGCGCTTTTCGCAATCCTCTACGTTTCATCCCTCCTGCGCAGCTTCCACGCTTTCCTACCATCGCCTCTTCGGTACCCTACCGTTTCTCCTTGTATTTTTCCGTCTCTCGACTAAAAACAACGGTACACACGTTGCCTTCTGCCCCACGCAAAGTGCCGTTTCCACCATCGTCCACGGCTGTCCACTACGACAGACTCTGCCCCTCTTGATCTTTGTCTCTTTCTAGCCCGCGCTACCCTGATACCCTACCTTCCGCGAGTTTCACCCTCGAACGATTTCCACCGTGCTCGCCTCGATTCTCCGCGACCACTCTCGCGCCATCCTTCGACGTGCATATCATTCCTCCGCTTCAAATTTCTCTGCTGTTTCTCCGGAAAAATTCCCCATCACCTGTGTAGGAATTCGTGAGAAATAGGCACCGCAGGCACGGGGACAATCCCCTTCCACGGGTTCCTCTTATTAGCGGACTTGAATGTCCCGATTGCAGGGAAGTGAAGCCTTTCCAATCGAAACCCTAAATCTCTGTAACGTGTCCGTCCTCGTGGGACTTGTGGATTCGAAAATAAAAAAAAAAAATAAAAAGAAACATCCCCGATTCGACGCTACCTGGCGACGATGCGACATTAAGGGTACAAGGCGCATGTACAGCATTAACGGCCACAGCAAGCACGTTTTCCTGCGCACGGATATACATATATACGCATACACGAGAAGGCGTATCCTATCAAGGACGTTTTGTACCATCCTCTCTCTCTGTCTATTTTACAGAGTCCGAAAGTTAGGTCGAGAGCAACGGCGCGCATGTCCACGAACGGAGGGAAATATTTGCGAATCGATAATTCGCGAGCAGCTGCAGCAACAGCAACGGGTTAGTCACGCGGACAGCTAGCCTATTTGATTGTTAGTCGGTCAAGTCGCGGTGGTAACCCCTAAATTAGCCACATCACTTTTTTTTTTCCTTCTACTTCTCTTTCTATATACCGCTACCTACACCTACATATATCTAGCATCGCTATCTTCGCTCGGATCCAAGCGTCCTCTTTTCATTTTTTTTTATTTTATTTCTTCTTTTTTTTTTTCTCTCTCTCTCTCTCTCTCTCTTGCACCCTCGAACAACAGTGATTGAGTTTCGAAGCTTTCGTAAACGACGTTTCGAATTCGTCCAGACAAAGCTTCCCTCGTGATTCGTAATCCATCGAGATCCTGATGGCCGGATTTTCGGTCGCGTCTTAAATCACGGATGTTTGATCTTATCAATGTTTACGGTTATTAATGCAAGCATTACATCGGAGATAACTTGTGAATGTTACAAATGATCATGTGTACATTAACACCGACTGCCATACGGGTCTCCGGTGACTGACTCGAAATACAAATGGAATAATTAGTAATAGAAACCGGAAGGCAAACTTAGATCATTTAAGTCTATGCAACTGTTACAACTCGTACTTTATTCCTTAGTTACATTATCCATTTTTTTGTTTTTTTTTTTTAATTTTATAGATGGTAACGAACGTTGAAAGCTGACAGCCTTGTAAAAATTGAAAAAAAAAAGAAATAGTGGCAAAGTAGGGAAAAAAAGAATATGTTGCGCGTCGATGTGAGTAAAAGAAGAAGAGGATGAGTATGAAAGATTCAGAGGCTGAGGAAAAAATCGGGGTTGCTGCGATAGCGAAGGTGGAGAGGAGATGGGGTTGTTCGGTAGGTTTGAGAGGCTAAAGCAACGTGGAGAGAGGCACGATCTTTCCTCGGCATCGCGACCGTCTCTGAGCGATTTTTGCACAACAAGGAGGCGAATTCAAACGGCATTGTACCGTCACGTGCGGCCACTCGCTCTCTTTCAACGGAGCGTCGTTAGAACCTCTTCCCTTCGTGCAACCACAGAACTTCCTTACATTGCCCTCATTCTCCTCCTCCCCACCCCTCTGCACCTCCTACTCCTCCTTCACCTTAATTTTCTACTTACTTCTATTCTCTTTACATCGAATTAATTGCCACGAAATCATCCATTTTTCTCGATCACCTTACAGAAGGCACAGATAATTCGTGCCAACAGATCCGGCGCACGTTCCAATTCGCTGTACTTTATATCTGAAAATTAATTACATAATACGCGTTAGGACTTTAGTTTTTCATTTTAAAATCATTAAAAGAAGGATTTCAATTTTCAACTATTACTTTTATCGTTGCAGGGAAACGTACTTTATTTTCAAAACAGAACACTCTTTTCGTTTTACATTATGAAACTATCTTATCGTTATTGTTTATAAAAATTATCATTTACAAAGGAAGGTATACATCTTTCCGGTGAATCAAATTCCAATTAAAGGTAATAAGAGAAAGATATCTTCACGTTTATTAAGATAGCTAAATTGTTGTATTTGGAATGTTTTGCGATTGTCAGCGATCGTGTTCGCAATAGGTATTCGTTTTTCATGGTCACACAATTATCCCCAATGTTTCATAGTGTTCATTTGAGTCATTTTTATTTATTAGAAACGATTAGATATCTTTTCATTTTTATCTCGTACAAGGTCGATTCCGAGACCTTTCGAACACAGATTGTGTTTAATAACGATTCACGCGAACAGTTTGCTTTCCCATCGAGATTACGAGACAACTCATTCTTTCGTTTTCTAACTCAAACACTTACCATTAGTAATGTGTTTATTTCTTTGAGATTCGATTGGTGCTTTAGCATCGATAAAGAGATCAGTATCGCTCGCAATCAGACAGAAATATAAATCTTTTATTTTTAATTAAGATACAGTACATTCTATGGTTAAACAATAAAGATAGCTACTAATTTAATTTTCCGTCGTGGACATTAGAATAATCAAGTAAAAATCTTTAACATTGCACAATATACATATACATATATGTATATACACACTCATAACGCGGTCACCTATACCGACTATTTACATAATTTTATACAACGTTTCTTTGGAAAGACTTGATTCAACACCGATGGAATAATAGTGAAGATGGAATCACCATTTCCTAATTTACATTCATTTATTTATCGCTTATAGAGATTAATACATATATATTTCCATTTGATAATTAGGAAATGGTTGTAAACGTAACGTTTCACTATAGATACAAATTTACAGAATGCGCATAGAAAACGACGAAAGAGAAATATTATTTATAGTGAACAAGTTTTTTTTATTATAACGATTAACGTCCAGTATTAAAAATATTAACCGTCAGAATTTGATAGTGTTCCATTATACTCTCTATATGTCCTGCATTAAAACGAATTCTATTTTTCATCTTTTATTATCTATATATATGTATATACACCGATAATGCTAATGGAATTATTTAAACTATATCTAATCTACGAAAAAAAAAGAAAAAAAGAAAGTGTACCGTGGTAGCGAAACCTCAACAGAGGTAAATCAATAATTAGGTGCAAAGATAAAATATATGTAGGCCATACATATTTACGAATATAAAGCCGATTAAAATAATATTTCAAATCAACAATAAGTTGCGATTAAATATTCATTCTTTTATCAAGGTATTTTAATAAAATAGAATATATTTGAAATATTATATTACTCAGATATATGCATAGCAAAAAAATAATTTGCAATCTTAACTGTTAAGTATCTGTTTTTAAAATGACTTTCAATAAAAACAAGATTGATAGGGTAACAATGATTCTTATTATTAAAATAATGACATATCATTTCCAATAATAAATTTGCATTTACTCTTTCTTTTTTCTCCTATAAAATACGGGACGTAAAAAAATGCTTAAAGAATGTCGAATACTAAACAAATTAAATACGTTTATACGAATATTTGGTATACACAAACGGTTTAGCTTACAAATTATTATAAAATATATTTTCAACATTTGAGTTCTTTTAAATAAAAAATAAAATTCTTCAAGCTTTAAAAATGCTGTTTCCTTTAACGATTACAAGTTATTAGCATTCTATGCCGAATTCTGTAACATCTTATCAATTTTATTCGGGATATTACAATAAACATTCTATGAAATGTAATAAAAGATGAATCTAGTCGAATTTTATGCCGAAATGTCATTTCTTTCAGAATCCGTGGTAACAACAGTTGGTTGCTTCATTTTCAACAGCTAGAGTGGACCCGGCCGAATTTGATGTTTGGGAATTCGGTACAAATCGCGTACTGCGATTTGTAATTTGAACAACAGGAGCCGGAAACTCTTAAGCGTCTGCACATAAATTCACTGTATGCGGTTCAGTACTGCTCACAGAACATTCAAGCTCCGGGAACTCACCTAAATATTTAATCATTAAACTTCATATTTCCTTTTTCTTAATTGCATGTTAATTCTTTTTTTTTTTTTTTTTTTTTGTTAATAGAGAAAATTAATAAATTTCATACCATTAATGCTATGAATGTCATATGCTCTAAAAACAGTCCCACTGGATGGCTCACCAGCATTCGTACTTGCTCTATCTTCAAATGAAGCAAAGGACTCTTCAGAGTCAGAACTGCTACTCAAGTAGCTCAAATCCTGCCTTATTTGTGATCTTCTAGCACGATTAAAAGGATTTTCACTCTGTCGCGAAAATGTTCCACCCTGAGTACCTAACAAAACATTACTTTTCATTTTCACAAAATGTAATTTACAATTGTTTATGTAATTTCATTGAAACGATCTTCAAACTATGTTTCTTAATATATGAAAATTGACATTTTTCAAACCTTGATGACCGTCACGAATTAAAGGCGTTGTATCGTCGGCGTCTGAATCACTTTCGTCAGTAACAACTTGTTCGTCCGCTGCAAAAACCTTTCGTTTACAAACGGGACAAACTCTACGACTTTTGGTCAACCAAGGATCGATACACTTTGTATGATACGCTGAAACCAAACAGAACGTTATTAACCAAATTCTTAAAATTCAAATCCATATTGCTGCTATGATCTACAAACCATGTGCACATGGTAAAACTCTTAATTTTTCGCCTTCAACATAATCGTCCAAACAAATAGCACACGTTTCATACGGATCACCCTTTGTATATTTGTGCGTTGGAATTTTCTTCAAACTTGAATTTGGTAATCTATGCCTTCGTTGCCTTCTTCTATCTTTAATACATCTAACGATCTATAAACGGGAAAATATATACTTTAGAAATTGTTTCTTGCTTATTATACAATAACTTAAATGCTGCTTTATTACTTCATTTTTATTTTTCAGCATCTCACCATAAAAATAACCATGACTAGAAAACAGATCCCAACAACGATAGCAAAAGGCAAGAGTAAATGTGTAATATTAAATGTAGCATCATCATTAATTAATACAAAATACAACTGATCGTATAAATAATTTTCTTTAATAATCAATCCTGTGATTTCACTGACAAATACAGACGGTATGAATATCCCTACAGGATCTTCTGCTGACATTGGTTCTATAACAAAACATATACAGAAATACATTCAGATATAAATATATATATAAATACTTACTTCTCAGATAAAATATTTACCTAATTCATTACTGTTCACATTGTGTATAATTGCAGCATCATACCCTGCTTTCTGTGCCATTCTAACTTTTATCTCAAAGCTACAGTTATACCGAGCGATTAGTGCTATCCAATAACCATTGTAATTAGTAATGTTGGGAGGACCTTGTATTTCACGGCATGCTGAAGGTGGGTCTGCATATACAACCATACCCTAATAAAATTTTCCATAATCTATAATATGTACCCTGTATTTGACATAGATTTTTCAAAAATATTTTCTTACTGTTTTGAATAAAAACTCGTAACTGTTAACATTATATTTTTTTTATTTACAAGTATAATTTAGAGAAAGCAATTTTACAGAAGCTATGTATGTTCTAATTGCCATCAAATATAATATTACAATCATATATTATAAATTTATCTTCGTATATCATTACATTTTGAATACTTAATGCCTATGATAATATAAATACCTTAATCCCTTCAGATGGTATCAAACCTCCAAATCTGGCAGGCATGTCTCTAAATTCTTCCTCAATTTGATGTCTTGCAGCTGCAGAAAATACCAAAATATCTGCTCTATTGTATGTAACACAAAAGATGAGAAACATAAGCCACAACTGAAGTTGGTGGCTTAAACAACACTGTCTCATTTTTAAAGGAGTCAAAAGTATCCACTGTCTTGTCAATTTTATTATTCTATTAAAAGTTTTTTTGAGTGCTTCATTGTATGTTTTATTTAGCCCATAGATACTAATGTATCCATTATGAAAAGGTGAATGTTAACCTGTAAGAATTATAAAATTCATTACTATAAACAAAAAAGATTGCATATACTAAGTTATATAATTAGCACATTTGTAATCAACTTATTAATATTACAAATATATAGTAGTACTAATATTTTAGTAACTTGTCAAATAGTTTTCAATGAGTATGTTTGATATTACATACTTGTTGATGATAGGTAATAATTTGTGTCACAATTAAAATGCTCCATATTTGAAAGAACTGCAAATTACTTTTTTAATATTATCATAGTCACATAATGTACTGTTACTAATTTCTTGATATGAATGTTTGATGACACAGAAGAACTTATTTACAACTTGTATAGTAATTTTGAATTCACTATAAGTAATTAATGAATTAAACGAAACGTGACGCATGCATAATGGTATAGTACAATCTTACTGCTTATATTTAATTGGAATAATTAAAAAATGTTGCATCAATGAATTATCCGACTTACAAAAAGCGAAGTATGCGTCTTCCCTGTTTCAAAACAAAAGAAAAGCGTCAATCTGATACGCGAAGCGTATTCTCATAGTTTCTGTTTAACACATCGACGAACAGATAGTGGAAGTAATGATGATTAAATTTTTTGATGTATATCAATCGACGTAAATAACAGTGCCATATACATGTAAATGTACGTAAACGTAAACAGGTATGCAACAAATAGAGGGAATCGTACTAATTTAATACTATAAATTTCTCTGTCAATGGTAATACTCAACGTAAACACAGAGATAATTTCGATACGTACTAGTACTTTTTTTTCTTCTTTCATCCAGAAAAAGACGTAGTGTATGACATACAACGGACGTTTAATCGGTTCGTAAAACGTATATACATGTATACACATGCACCCACACGCGTAATTACGTATGTAGATACTACCAGTGTGCAACGATATGCACACCGTTTACGCGTCGCATATCGTTTGCATTTCTTTCTACAGATTTGAGGTTATAAGAATGTTTCGAAAAATCTTAATTACTTTGCACTACAAACAAAAAGTAGAACTTCTATGATGACACCAGATCGACTGCGATGTTGATCAATCCATTGAATAAAGTCCACAAGTAAATGTCAACCATTGAATTATATTAAAAAATTCTTTGTCCATAATTACTTCGGTCGAGTTCTTCTACGTAACACAAGAACAATTTATACAGTCTTTCTGCTTCAAAACAGCTATTTAGTAACTTGATCACTTAAGTCACGCGGATGTCATACAAAAATCAGTGACTAATAATACAAAAAGATTCGACATGTTTTTGTTCTCAAGGGGTCATAATTTCGGGGGTCCTAAACACCCCCCAGGTGAGGTTAAGTCTGCATATACGGAGCACAGTCGGTATGATAATCATGCTTGGTTAACCAGTACCTACATACATGAAGCTACCCGAAAGTAATAATAAAATATGATTATTTTTAATTTTTCTTAATGTATTTCGTTTGTGATTGATTGTGAGTCTATTTTTAACGTTTGTGACAAATTAGTTCTTTCGTAATTAGCAATTGTATTTCACTCTTTATGTGAGCCGAAACTTTTTAGTAATTTTTTATAATAAACAGATTTTGTAATAACTGATAACTGTAATTGACTGGAAATCGTTTGTGATTTACAAATATATCATTTTCATTGTTTGTGATTTCTTAATTATTTACAAGCTTCTTTTATAATAAATAATTCTAGTGCGCATGCGCTAAAGATCCGGTCGTACCCATCACTACCTCGAACAAGTGAGTTTCACGATTTGTTCGTTTTTAGTTCTTATATTTCGCTAGATCCGGTCGTACCCATCACTACCTCGAACAAGTGAGTTTCACGATTTGTTCGTTTTCCGTTCTTATATTTCGCTAGATCCGGTCGTACCCATCACTATCCCGAACAAGTGAGTTACACGATTTGTTCGTTTTTAGGTCTTATATTTCGCTACTTGCTTCGGGGTCCCTGACACCCCAAGACGATAATCGGGGTTCTTGAGAACCCCAAGATGATATTCGGGGTTCCTGAGAACCCCAAGATGGTATCCGGGGTGCCTGACAACCCCAAGATGGCTTTCAGGGTTCCTGAGAACCCCGGAATGGCATTCGGGGTGCCCGAGAACCCCAAGATCACACTCGGGGTGCCTGAGAACCCCAAGATTACACTCGGGGTCCCTGACACCCCAAGATGATATGCCGGTATACAGGGAGTGCCACCGGCACAACGGGGTCCCTGGCACCCCAGATGTCATAATGTCGGTATGTAAAGTAAGACGATGCCGCTTCGGGGTCCTTGACACCCCAAGATGATATGCCGGTATACAGGGAGTGCCACCGGCACAACGGGGTCCCTGGCACCCCAGATGCCATAATGTCGGTATGTAAAGAAAGACGCTGCCGCTTCGGGGTCTCTGACACCCCAAGATGATATGTCGGTATACAGGGAGTGCCACCGACACGACGGGGTCCCTGGCACCCCAGATGCCATAATGTCGGTATGTAAAGAAAGACGCTGCCGCTTCGGGGTCTCTGACACCCCAAGATGATATGTCGGTATACAGGGAGCGCCACCGACACGACGGGGTCCCTGACACCCCAGATGCAATAATGTCGGTATGTAAAGGAAGGCACTGCCGCTACGGGGTCTCTGATACCCCAAGATGATATATCGGTATACAGAGAGCACCACAGATACATCGGGGTCCCTGGCATCCCGGATGCTATATTATTGGTATGCAAAGATAGTCGGCGGCTTTTCGGGGTCCTTAATACCCCAATATGACATCAGGTCCGTATGAAGAGGGCACAACCAGTATAATTTTTTTCCAGAGTTTATTTAATTTACTTCTCTTATTTTCTTTTGCTTATTAAGTAAGCTCATCGAAGGGGAATAACATTAATGATTATATCCCTCTTCTGAGTCTCAGCCGAGGACCCCATTTATTTTACTTTTTCCAGTTATTTATATAACATTATCCCTCATTATAGGTCAAGGCCATCTCAGTTTCCTTTACATCCCTGCATTCCTTCCATCCCAACATTCCTTACATCTCTTCACCCCTTACATCCCTGCATTCTTTTCATCCCTTACATTCTTTTCATCCCTAAATTCCTTTCATCCCTACATTCTTTTCATCCCTACATTCTTTTCATCCCTGCATTCCTTTCATCCATGCATTCCTTTCATCCCTGCATTCCTTTCATCCCTACATTCCTTTCATCCCTTCATCCCTGCGTTCCTTTCATCCCTACTATCTTTCCATCCCTACATTCCTTTCATCCCTACATTCTTTTCATCCCTACATCCCTTATAATAAATATATTACAAAGACTGCTTCGAGTAAAGGTAAGTAAAGGTAAGTAAAGGTGAGTTGTTTCATTTTTCGCAAAAATTTCGAAAAACAGCGCCCCCTAGCGGCAAAAATTCGAACTAAAATTTCGATGTCGATTCAGCGCCATCTAGTTTCGCAAAAAGGAACCAAACCTCGCACCATTTTTGGCCCTCTGGCGGCAAAAATGTGAACTAAAATTTCGATGTCGAATCAGCGCCATCTGGTTTCGGAAAAAGGAACTAAACCTCGCACCGTTTCTAGCCCTCTGGCGGCAAAAATGTGAACTAAAATCTCGATGTTGAATCAGCGCCATCTGGTTTCGGAAAAAGGAACTAAACCTTGCACCATTTCTGGCCCTCTGGCGGCAAAAATGTGAACTAAAATTTCGATGTCGAATCAGCGTCCTCTGGTGGCGAAAATAGGAACTAAATTTGTATAGAATCGCAGGCCCTGTAGCCGCAAAAATTTCAAATTTAATTTCAGGGAGGTACTGGGATGTATAGAATGCAGGAATATAAGTGATACAAGGATGTAAAGGATACAGGCTTGTAAGGGATGTTGTTATATAAAGAAGGCAGGAATGTGAGGAATGTAAGGGAAGCAGGAATGTAAGGGATGCAGAGATGTAAGGGATGAAGAGATGTAAGGAATGTAGGGATATAAGGGATGAAGCGATGTAAGGAATGTATGGATGAAAAGAATGTAGAGATGCAAAGAATGTATGGATGAAAAGAAAGTAGGCATGAAGAGAATGTATGGATGCAAAGAAAGTAGGCATGAAGAGAATGTATGGATGAAAAGAATGTAGGGATGCAATGAATGTATGGATAAAAAGAATGTAGGGATGAAAAGAATGCAGAGATGTAAAGGATTTTTTATTTTTAACATGGGAAATCTTGCATAAGACCCCCCACCGAGATGTTTCCGCGTTGTTAAAAGGAAGGATAGTTCATAATGGGATCAATGTTTAATTTAAGCACATTGAATACACATAATAGTTTTCATAAAAAGTATATTTAAAGTACATGTGGTAAAATTACAAGTGTTTACATACAAAACATTTACTACCTCACATTGTTCTTAAGTAATTACAGATACAATCGACTTTGATTAAAATCAAAAAGAAAAAAGCATTTTCCATTTCTGAATTTGCTAAAATTTATGCTTTTTATGTATCTACTTTAGTCTTATATCTTCACTGAATTATAATATTTTGCGATCAAGTATTTCGTGTATATATATTTATATACATCACAGACATAAAGAGTGATCAGTTACGAAATATACGGTTTTGCGATTGTAATGTACATACGTACGTAGGTTGAAGTCGACATGATTCACATTAAAATCATTTGAAATAAATCAGTATGTAATGTATGTGTATTAACATTTAGAGAGTGATTTATTAAATTTACACCATAATGCATTATATACTTCAAGTACGTGTTTCCGATAAAACGATATTTTATATTCATGTTAATGCTACTTAATAACTAATCATCATACGAGTAGAATCAATTAATTTAAACAGGAAGAGAATTCGATTTATGTAGACTTGCAATCCCGTTCTAAATAAAAATTTAATTACAATTGTTCGCAATTGAAGGCACTCATCACTTTATAATGAGTCAAAATGTACACTATCAAACTCATCACCTTTGTAAAATTCTACTGAACATACAGATAATTAATTTGTTTTGACCTTTCTAAAATTTCCCTCGAGAAAACCTATCATCCAGGCATTGTGCTTTCTTTATAACGGCGTTTTTTTGAGCCTGATCAAACCTATTGATCTGTAAATCAACATCTCTATCAAATGGTCTTCTAATTGTCTCTCCAGATAGTTTGGCTCTTTTCTCTTCTTTCTGTAATTCATATTTGTTTATTAAATCATCATCATTAATATAAGAAATACAAAATATAAGAAATCTTAACAGTATACAAATACCTTTTTCTTCTTTCGTACTTTACTCTGATGTATTTCCAATAATGACTTTTCCTGTCTTTTACTTTCTCCAGGATCAACTTCGTAACTTTCTTTAACTAAGGCTATAGTCGATGTATTGTACATTGTTTCACTCTCCTGAAAAGATAATATCATCATCGTAAAAGTACTTTGGATTAAACCTTTTAAAAAGACGAATAAAAATTATAAAGCACTTACTTGTTGCTTTTGTTTCACAGCTTTCTTTGCTGGGGTATCAGTCCAACATGATCTATCAGACATATCTGGACCTGACTTCATTCGAAATTTTCGTGAAGTTAGTCCCAGATTACTAACTTGAACCGCAGGTAACTCTGTCATCCATTCTTCTCGTTGATTCTGTGTACTGTCGCCCTAAAATATTATTGTTTTTGGGCACAAACTTTAAATATTTAAATTATAGAAATGTAATTCATTGTTACCTCATCTTTTTGTTCCTTTTGAATTTCTAGCGCCCTTTGTTCTAATTGTCTGTACACGTAATTGGTTTTTAATGCTGGATGATCAATCGGCAATGGACCTATCGCATCCTCGCTTTCAGATTCTGCTTGTTCTATTTCGTCATTATCCGATGATTGTATCACGATTGTTGGAAGAGTAGGAGATATGATTTCCACGTTCATTTCATTATCACATTTCGGTTTTAATAAATGCGGTGGTAATACTGGACCAAAAACAAGATCTGTTCCATTGTTTTGATTAACATCACTCGACGAATCGTTTTCAGAAGTTTTAGTTACAGTATTTTCTGGTAAACAAGGTCCTATAAAACCTTTACTTTTTACTAGCTTTAGATCATTGGAAGAATCAGTTATTAATTGCAGTGGTAAACTAGGTTTTGAATTGTTCCCGTCTGATGGATGTGACGAGGGTAAAGTAACTTCCGTTGCATTTAGGGAATCACAGTTATTAACATTTTCAAGTGAATTTTTATTATCTTCCTTACGATTTAAATCAACTCTATCGTTTCTTGATTCGTTCTCACATTTTTGATAAGCGTTATTTCTACAATCTTGACTGATTTCCATTGATATAGGTGATATGGTACCTAATGCGGAATCTGAAATGGTACCAGAATTATTATTACTGGAACCATGTAACGAATCGTTCATCCTTGCATTTACCTTTGCCAATCCTTCTGAATGTTCAATTTCTGTTGCTTGCTTTTTTAATATACATTCATGTTCGTCATTTAAATTTCTTTTTTTTGTCTTTACCTTATGCTGCTGTAAAACTGAACTCTTACTTTTTACATCTGAACTATCAGACATATTTTCATCTGTCTCTGATAGAATATCAAATTCAGACAGATTTAATTCTTTACATTCTTGGTTGTCTGTCGACGAGTCTCCTTTTGTTACCAATTCATTATCGTTACGATCTGGTTCTGTACTCTTGGGTGAAGAATGTTCGTGTAAACATTGCTCTTCGTCATCTTTTGTCGATGAATTTTTACATACACTGTATCGTTCGGATTCTCCCCTAAGTTTCTCACGATCTTCCGACCTTGCTTTGGACGACTGGTATCCTCTATCACGGTTTCTGTCGTAAGAGTGATGCTTGTACTTTTCGTGAGATTTATTTTTGTGTTTGTCGTTATCATTTCTACTACGAGATCGTTCGTGAGACCTATTTTTATGGTGTTCATCCCGATCTCGATTTCTATGCCGTTTTGCATCTCTTGTTTTATGTTTTGTCAGTAACACAGAACTTCTTGAACTTAAACTGACATCCCTCGTATTCTTATAATCTTTACTATCATCGTGTCTTGAGCTCCTTGATTCGTGTGCATGCTTAGAATATTTAATATCTCTATTATCGGTATCTCGTTCCCTCGAACTTCTATGTTCATCTCTGTTGCAGTCGCGTTTAGATTTATCTTTTCTACTTTTACATTCTATGTCGTTGTAACAAGATTTGTGCTCCGACTTTACTTTCGATAATTTTCCTAGTTTCGTTTCGGGTTGTAAATTATCTTTACGAGTGGCCTCAAAACGAAATCGTCGTCCATCGTCGCTATCCTGACTCTCGGAATCAGAGTCCATTGTTGTCATAATTAGTTATTTGCTGAAAGCAGCAGAAATTTAATTGTTGACACGTATCTAAAGTAATTGCGTTAATACTTTGTAAAATATATTAACAGAATGAAAGAGTATTTTATAAAAGTAGTTTAAAACTTTAAGGTATTAAACAGTACCTAGAAAAAACAGCTACAAGTTAACTAGACGAGAACTTTATTTAAAACACATATCTATGAATCATGTTACATATGACAGAATTAAAGTATGAGTAAAACACATGTAATTACTACTCTATGCGCTTCTCTGTTTCCTTTGATTGTGTCTGATTCTTCACAGTTTCTACCATTCTTTTAACTTTAATCTGATCTGATTCTAACTTTGTTACAGAATTTTTTTGTGGATCTGCTTGTAACATCTTGATTACTTTTGCTGCACTATACTTAACGGATTTTATAAATCCAGCAGTAATAATCCCTTTCAAACTTTGAGTAGTACTGGATCTCCATACAATTTGTTTCAAGCAGCCTTCTAATATTTCACCGCATTCAGGATCATGAGCAATTGCGCGTAAACAATCTTCTGTGTCCTTTGACCCTGGACCCTGTGACCATGCTCTTACAAGTTTAACTTGCGGTATTCGAGGCAACTGATTTAAATGATGTATTTTTGTTGCCGGGCTTGTATCCTGATGACAAGTGAGCATCGAGTTATCCGATTTTGGAACATCCACATAATTTTCAAAATGTTGCAAAACTGGACTGTACAATTCTTTAAAATATGTTAGCTGGGGTAGGACAATGTTATTAACTTTTTCCTTATTTTCACCAAAGATCATTCGAAAATCACCATTGTAAGATAAACCAGCTATAGTTTTATAAAACTCAATTTCTGTAAAGTATTGTGGAAGTAATAACAGTGCTGCATGAACAGCTGAATGTAAGTTTTGTACTAGAGCTGTAGGTATTTGGGTATGTTCATCCGGTTCTACCAATACTTTAACCGGTTTATGCAATCTTCCTGCTAAATACAAATCATTCCAATCTAACAAATCTTCTATTAATGAAATTTCAGAAACTACTCCATACTTGATAGTACATTCTTCTGTTATTTTAACCAATGTATTATAATATATCTTAGCACCCCAATTCTCTTGTACATTTGCAATTGCTCTAGGTCCAAGAAATCTCAATGGTTGAGCATAATGCTTGGGGTTCAGTTGTAAGTTTTCAGAGTGCCATTGTTTTATATTACGAACAACAAAAATGAGATCTATCATGTTATAAGATTGATTGTTTATTTGCTTAAACGCACCAGATCCATATGCAAAGCAGAATTTCATATTTCCTGGGAAATTTTTAAGTATCCCTTTAAGCTGCTGAATTCCTATGAACTTTTCCATCATTTTAAATGGTTAATAGTGCAGCCAAATTATGCGTGAAAACACTCAATACCTTTAATTCTGCATAACTGTATTATCTTGCAAAAAATTTAATATGATCATTAAGTGATTCTCTTTTTTTTTCTTACATAAATTTAGTTACAGTACAGTTAATCTTATTCTTTTATACTATTAAATGTTATAGAAATAGCAAAAAGATGGAAAAAATACAGCATTGAAGAACAATATAAAAAAGTGGCACCTGATGAAAAATAAATATTCTCTAGCCTTAATCATCCAATAGTTTCCACAAAGAACGTTGTAAGTTTTTGGATATTTATAATTAACTGCCTCCTTTTTCAACCACGATCCATTCCGTCTAACCTAAAATTTTGTTTTATAAATTGTGTAATCATTATATATACTTACGTAAAAACCATATAATATCCTATACCACGGATTTATTATTGGATAGTAGCCATATATTTAGTTTACAAAACAGGAATAAACAAACGTCAAACTGTGTAATCCAACATCTTACTTTGCTGTGTATTGACCTCAGAAACATATGATTGCTTGAAGTAATGCAGTGGCCACAGAGGCAAAAGACTGGACATGCCTTTGTTTCCAAGGGGTTATAATTTAGGGGGTCCCAGATACCCCCAGATGGTTATTCTGATTCTAGTATTTTATGGTTGAACCCTAGTATATTTTTTAGTGTATCCACTAGAACAATGTGACTGCTAACTTCCAAGTCAACTGCATTTTTAGATTTATTCAAGCAGTATTGTAAAGTGTGCTGTATGGTGTCTAATTGGTGTAAGCGTATATGAATTTGACAGCATTGAACACGTAATTAAACGTAATTGCAATAAAATATACATCATGACATCAAAGTAATCCTTTCCACTGAATAGCTGTGTTATCCGAAGAAATTTGTTAGAGTACTGTAACAAAAACTTTTGTTTTATTTAAGTTTTAGGTATTGTATATATAAAAATTCACATTGATATTATTCGCAGTGTTTACTGTGCACATAAAATCATAAAATGCTGATTAATAATTAGGTAAATGTTTCATATAATACGAATACTGTAGAAATCAAACAGTATGGAGGTCGATGAAAACAATGCAGCAGCGGCTCCAGTGGATACACCGATGGAAGTTGACGATGATACTTCTGGAAAAAATACTACTCCGTCAACTAATCCTCCAAGTGCTATCAAAGTAATGGCATCTTCTGGTACTGTTGGCTCTGTTTCTATTAGTCTTCACCCTCTCGTTATAATGAACGTTAGCGAACATTGGACGAGACTTCGGGCTCAAGAAGGAACAGATCAGTTAGGTATGGATATTATTTTTTGTTTTCTATTTTACAGTCAGGGGTATTAATTATAATTTTTGTATAGTTTTTCACACAGAGAATTTCTTCTTTTTTCAGTGTACGGAGCATTGATTGGAAAACAGAAGGGACGTAATATAGAAATTATGAATTCCTTTGAATTATTGTTCACATGTATTGGAGATGATGTCGTAATTGATAGAGATTATTATAATACTAAAGAAGAACAATTTAAGCAAGTGTTCACTGACATGGACTTCTTAGGATGGTATACCACAGGAGACATGCCTAATGAAAAAGATATCAGAGTACACAAACAACTTTGTGAAATCAATGAGAGCCCTGTGTTACTGAAACTTGATCCAAGACCAAAAAATACAGATGTATGTTTTAACATTTATTATTTTTATATTTGTACTCTGTAATGCAATGTTACTGTATCTTGCAGCAACTTTCTGTGTCTATGTACGAATCTGTGATTGATTTGGTTAATGGAGAAGCTACAATGTTGTTTGTGCCATTGACTTATACATTGGCAACAGAAGAAGCAGAAAGAATTGGACTTGATCATGTGGCAAGAATGTGTAGTAATGATCAAGAAGAAAGTTCATTAGGTAATTTTGGGAACATTCAGGGTATTTTAAATTGTTTCAAAAAATAAAAGTAAATAATATTTTAATAAAAAAATTCCAGTTGCAGAACATCTCACTGCGCAACACAGTGCTATAAAAATGTTATATTCAAGAGTGAATTTAGTTCTAAAATATGTGAGGGCAGTACAGAGTGGTGAACTAAAAGGGAACCATGAAGTTTTAAGAGCAGCTTGTTCTTTGGGACATAGATTACCAGTTTTAAATAATCCGAAATTCAAAGCTGACTTTTATAATGTAAGTATACACTATACTTTAACTGGTATAACAATTTATTAATACCTTACTATTGACATTTTGCAGCAATGTAACGACTTTGGTTTGATGACTTATCTTGGGATTATAACGAAAGGCTGCAACAATATTAATCAGTTTGTTAACAAATTCAATATTTTGTATGATAGACAAGGTGTAGGTCGTCGTTTACGAAGTCTTTTCTTGTGATAAGTGAAATGAAACTCATTTTTTAAATATTTGCCTTTTTTTACTCCATAAATTATATCGAATATCCTTTTAATTTTGAAAAATTCGAAAAAGCAGATTAACTGGTCAATACTTCTGAAGTTGAAATAAATATTGTACCTCTTACAAAATAAAGTTGCAAGTAAAACACATATGGAATGATTGATTTCAGAATATAACAGTATTAGATTCTAAACTATTACCGTTATATAAATTTATTAATATGTGCTTTACATTTATATTTTGTCCAATATACAACATACATACAAAAAATTTTATAACGCGTTCTACACTTATATATTATTTCAAACAAAACGTACATCGAGAATTCACGATAGATACAGAAGTAGTTGCACGTTTTTCTTTTTTTTCTTTTTTTTCTTTTTTCATTTCAGTGGAAGACATTTCGTAGTCAATATATTTTTGTTTCAAATTTGTATACTTTTAGAGGCCACATTACTTTCTTTTTATGTAATTCATTTTTATCATTTATGTGATTTGTTTTGTATAAATTATATTTGATATAAAAAAGCGGCCTATAAAATACGACTAAAAATCTGTTTCTAAAAATCTATTCCATTATTACATATAATTCGATTCGACATATGTAACGACTTATAAATATTATACTGTACAAAATATAGTATAATATATATTGTGCCTCGTTAATTATTGCAGGTAACTATATCAATTTATATATTTTATATAAACATAAATTAGAATTGACTTCTTGCGTGGCTAGATCTATTAAACTTGTATAAATTCCATTATAGTGAAAATTTCAATTTACAATATGACCAAGAGATCGTAATACAGTTACTTCAAGTACTTTGTTTAAACTGTAATAACGATTTTGTTTGATTTTACTTATATAATATAATATTCTCTAAAACGTATTAAAACTTTAACTTATAGTTTAGTGGATTCTTTTGTACACTGAGTTGTGCGGCTTTGTTTGATATTGTATTGATATGAAACATTTAAACCACGGAGATCGATGTTTCTATATTGATTTAGATAAATTTAAAAAAAATTAAAAGCTTTACCCGTTGTGAATTTTTTCACTGGGGAATATCTTGGAGCACGTTTCACTTTCACAAACTGTAATATATATAATCAATTCTTGTATCTTTTGGATATTCCATTCAATTACTCAATAAGCTGTCTTCGATCATGGTAGCAAGAAGATCTACTAGAACAGACAGCATTGAGTCGGGCTAAGGACTTGATTTTTCCATACCAATTATTTCCTCGAACAGAGTATTTTTTCCTCCCGCTTGTTCTTCGATTGCGTACAAGGAAAATCTTAACGTGGCGGCGGCTAAATCACCAACCGACCAATGCCTATCCATAAGTACTCTACTCACAGTATCTAACTAAAATGTTATTAATGTTAATCATAAAATCGTACATACATAGTTTTCATGGACAAAAACAACTACCTTCGATAAACTGGGATTTCCTGTGGTGTAATATATTAATTTCGGTACTCCTGCCAACGAAGCGGCAAGCCATTGAATAACTAATTTCAACTGTGGATCACCTTTTAAACGAGAACCACATCCCCAGTTACCACTAGCAATAGATAATAATCCACCTGACTGAGGGCTATTGTCCCTTGGTATCTAAAAAGAGGGATTAATAAATTTGAAGTAACGTAACTAGCAATAAAGTTTATCTTAAATAGTACAAATTATTCATAAATGAGAAGGTGTTTTAGTAACCGTGTGAAATCGAAAAATCTTTGACAATGTTATTAATGGAAGATACAAAACGTTGTATTAATATAAAGTCGAATTATATTAATAAAAGTTAAAAGTTGATTGTAGAATGTACGAGTAAGACATATTGAAGACATTACCAAATAGAATGAGAGACAAATCATTAGTTATTAGAGGTGCAGCTATAAACTTTTGATGGCAAGTAGAAAGCACTTGTTTATAATTTATCATGCAACGAATCATTAAAACGTGGAAGGTTTCAGTAATTCAACATACCGATCGTTAAGCTGGAATAGTTAAGCATAAAAGTATTTGTCGTTATCGTATTAAATATATAATTAATTTATAGTATCAGTTCATGCATTGTATTGACAAAGTATAATTGACACATGTGTAACATAAGTTTGCTCACGTTAAATATTACATGCGATTCGAATTGTTGCGCAAGTTTTTCATTATTCACGTTGGCAACAAAAGATTCTGTTGTTCCTTTTACAGTTCCAGGTGTGCTTAAAGAAACAGGATTAGATAGATACACGGTAGTTTCGTCATCGACCAATGTTTGAAAAACTTCGGATGTAAACGTTACCGTCCTAAGTTTTCTACGTTGAATATCCTTTACCTCTTTTGATATTGTATGATTACTTAAAGCATCTTCATAATACTCTACATCTTCAGACTCAGAGACCTGCGTATCGTAATAATCTGATGAAATTCGGCTGTATAGAAAATATTATTTAGGATAGTTATTAGTTTTCAGTTTGTCTCTCATTCTTCGTCGATTCAATATTTTTAAATAATATTTTTCTTTTCTATTCTTTTTTTAAGTACTGTTATTGTTTCATTCAAAAATCAAATAAATTCGATTAAAGGAAAAGAAAACGATTTGTTCCTTACTGATTGTTGTCTCCTATTTTTTTGACGGGCTAGCTCTAAACTCAAACTTCTCACTGCCAAAGCTAATTTATGGCTTTGATTTACGTCCGCAGAGTCGATAAAGGGTTGTGGTTCACCCTCTTGTACCGGAACACCAGCGAACGATTCGCTGAGAGCTCTCTTTAACAACGAACCAGCGAATCGAACTACCGCTTTGTCCCTTGCATCTAACTCTCGGGATTCATCCGCTGCTATCGGATCTTCTAACCATTTTGCTAGCTGTTCGTAAACTTCTTCGAGCTCGGAACAAAAATCTAAATACGCGAAGACAAGTGGTAGATTCGTTTATTTTTAGAAACTGACGAAAGGTGTTATCTATAAAGCGTTTCGTAATACTTGCCAGAATTATATTCAGTGCTGAAACTGTATTTACTACTAGCGCTTGTGTCTCTTCTTTGGAGCATTGGTTGATTCTGCCGAAATCTACCTAGCCATTTTTGCTCGGCTTCCAACGATTCTTTCAGAAAATCTTCGTCCACTGTTTCATCACGGAGTACGAAACCTCTCGAACCTCCTCTTTTTACCCTAACGAAGATAGACTTGTAAATCTAAATTATACATTAATATAACATTTATATAAATCTTCTTACTTAATGTCTTGATCACAAACATGACTTCCGGACACGCTTATTCCAACTGCATAACTACTTTCTCCAGACGAGGTGTTAGACGAGGTTGCTCCCGTGGCTGTACTTTCTCGTTTTAACGCGTCCCTTAGACGTTGAGCAAAAGTTCCTCTTCTTTCTGGTGTGTCCAACTGAGTACTGTAACGTTTACTTAATTTTTGTTCTTCTTCTTCTATAAAGTTTAATACACGAAGGCATTATAGACATAACGTTTTGTTGAATGAAAGAAAAGTGAAAAATACTAAATACCAGGATCTTCGTCTATAGTATCTTTTGCGCTATGAAAGCTATCCGTGCTTTGACTATTACAACTACTGTAAACTGACATTTGACCAAGGGATTTTCGTGTAACCGGTAGAATTTCTCCGCTAGATCCAAGTACGATAAATCGATTCCTTTTGTTTGTACTGGTACTGGTATCGCTGCATATCCTATGCGGGCTCGGTGGTCTTATAGATTTACCATTTGGTCTACTACGAACTTCCGTTAGAATATCGTGTTTACTGGATTCGCGTAACGCGGATTTCGCTGAAAAAACAACGAATAACTGCTTTACAATTATTAATTGTGTTTGATTACGTTTCCACTGATGTACGTTCTTTAGTACCTACCATTATTCGTTGACAATACTCTATCGTCGCCTTCTGTTTCCGGAGGGGTGCTGCTAAAACTTTCACCGATTGGCGATAATCTTCGGGAACCTACTAATCCATCTGGATCCAATTCGGATTTGACCGGATCGGTTGGACTGCTTGGTACGTGTCTTTGCCGGAATCCGAGCAAAGATTTATTCATTTCACGGAGTATATTATCTTCTTCAAACTGCGACGAAGGTAATCGCGAGTAATCTTCAGGATCGATACAGCATACTGTTACCTATAAAGTTTCGAAGAAAATGATTAGTTCAAATATGTTAATTGAAATAGAAGAGTGGACTATACTTACGACATTTGGTTTCGGCAAAGCTTCAAATATGGCTCTGTTACGAGGATCATTTATTCTAGATATGTGTCTAACGCCCTCAACTATTAATACTTCGTTGTCTTCTAAAGCCTCGACTGATAATATTGCCGCGAGCATTTCGGGATGCGTCACTATCTAAAGATCAAAATTGATAACTATAATTTTTCATTACTTTTTATTGCAAAATACACCCTCTAATATTTGATTTTATTCATTTTCTTTCTTCTTTGCTCATATTGTTTTTTTTTTTTAATTTTTTTTTTGTTTCCTAAGAGCCTAAAGTTAATTAACCCAAATCGAAATGATCTTTCTCACGCGCTTTAATTATTTACATGTACAGTTTCTTGCGTAACATCACCGTCAAGTACGCCGCCGCCAAACTTCGCGCTCGCGAAGCAAACACGTAATACTTTAGTCTCTGGTTCCACCCTCTCCAAACGACCCTCGTGTCGTATCATCAACGGGCATAGAGGAACGTTGCTCTCCAACCAATCCTCGATAGTTAACCATTGCTTCGATGTCATTACCTGTTAATTAAATTTCATTGTTAATTTTAAGAGGCTGAGAAAAATTTCTTAAAGTACTACCTGTCTAGAAATGACTAGCTTTCCATCAAGCGCGTTTTCGGCTTCGAGGTAGTCGTAGTAATGAAATATGCTTCTCAGTTTTGCTTTCTGTCCGTTACTAATAAAATAATATAAATTTCAGTAGACTTGTCTGACAATTAGCAACTTTCATTCTGATACTTACTTATGAAGATATTTAAAAAAATTTGTGAAATTAAAATCTCTCAAGGTCGGATGGGTCTTTGCAGTTCTCTTTGGATACGTAGAGAAGAATGCATTTGCTATTAGAGATGAAACAAAGGCGTAGCTATATTCCACGCAGTCACCTGCAATATAAATAGTTCTTTTGTATTTCCTGGCGTTTCTTATCGATCGTTTCAACAAAGTTGCAGAAAAATAATGACCTTGCTGTTGAAGGCTGAAGTGCAAGCCCTGCGGTGGTTTACAAGACCTTAAACCTTTCGCTCTTTCCACTATTCGCGGTATTGTCTTCGCGAACACCTGTTCTCGTTCCGTAGAATCGAGGTCGTTATCGAGAAATAATGCTAATCCGGAAAACAATTCAGGATCTTGCGTATCCTCTTCGGGATCGAGACTTATGCTGTAAAAGAAAGAAGAACGCTTTGAGACACGATTATTAGAGATATGTGAATCAGAGATATGTGGAACACGTAACATCGACATTGAGAACATATATAAAATGATGGGCGGGCTTTTATACAGAGGCGTTGCGGCTTAACAGCAATTTTGGGGTACATCTTTTACGGATAGTTAGAAATACTTATCGATCAGATACCTTTTCAGAATGCACTGTTCCTCGTATCTTTATAACAGCATGTAGCAAAAAAAAAAAAAAATCGAGTTCGTTAATATCTACGCGATAGAGAAAGGCATTCTAGCGAAATCGATACACGTATCACACACGCGATGCTAGTTAGTCGAGAATTCAAGTATAATTCATTACCAGTTCGTAAACGTGTATCAGATCGGAAAAAACTTACTTGCACATGTCGTGCAATCTTTGCATCGCTTCCAAAAGGTCATCGGAATTTCTTGCAGCTGCTGCTCGATCCAGTTGCTTTACCACGGCTGGCCACCACGGTAGATCGCAGGGTAACATTACCAGAGCCATTCTAGTCGTCGATCTAAGATTCGAAGTTCGCGCGTTACGGTCCAAACGCGAGCGCGCATGCCCAGGAGAAAGCAAATAAATAACCAAACTATTAGTCTTACAGACACAATCATCCCCCGCGATACGATTATACTACTTTATCATACAGTTCAATTGTATTCAATTGTGCTCGAACCACGCGTAACGTGTGGTGTGTAATGTGTCGGAAAATAGGTTGTCAGTTGGCGAACCGAATTTCGAAAAGGAAATCTTTTCTGGCAGCTGGCCCACGATCAGTTTCAGTGAAACGATCTACATGTGCACGTTACGCTGGGATCGAGCGTACGTTAGCCAAGATCCGGACACTTGTTATACAAATCGTGTATCGCTTGTGCCCGCGATATTACAATTTCATCATCGAATCGTTTATCTACTTTCATGTTTCTTAGGTGAAAAAGAAGGAAGCAGAAATTTAATTTTTAACGAAACACGTTTTGTTAAAAACGTTGCTGGTGCTTAAATTTTTAAAGATACGTCCGAACCGAACAATTGCAAGTAGTATGAGTTTAAAACAGGCGCGGCTGGCCTACCGAATTATCGATATGTGCAATGTGCATAGGTTTACGCGCGAATTGTCTCGTAAAAATAAATATTCCATGGTTATAAAATAAAATCGGGTTATCACGGGCTGTGTAACTCGATATCCTTGAACCATCGTTTAAAAATATACGATGTATTCTTTGGGAATACAACTAAAGATTAAATCAATGCATAAGTACTTGAGACAATACGTGAGGTAAACAACTGTACAGATGTTATTTCTATAACTCTTTCGAGTACTCACAGTAACGTAATAAAGCGTACATTTAATTACATTTAACCTTAAAATATCAATGACAGATATATAGACATTGAACAGTGTATAAAAAATCATATTGTGATATTAGCGTGCCGGTCATTAATTTACCTGAAACTTATCCCGGTTCATTTCAGGCTGTAAACATTAAAGTATTAAGCGCACGACCCACGTTTCTTGTTAAAGTTAGTTTTGTTCGATGAAGGGGTGAACGTATCCCTTGGAGTCTCCATTTGATACCTCGAAACTGCTCGTTTGCCTAGCGGAAGGGGTTGCGAGGTTAGTACCCTCTAAACGCGAGGAGAGTATATAATTAGTTACTCTTGTAGCCGGGTAGAAAACTATCCGGCGAGTCAACCAGTTATCATAGATCGTAAATGGACAATACCTAGCGTTTCGCAATACGCTAGCACTGTTGTTTCAAATAAGAATTTACATAATCACCTAATTCGCTCGATACGTTGCCGATCAGCTGACCGAATCACGAAGTCACATTTTAGTGTACCATTGAATCAACAGACACATCGCACATGGTACTATGGTACAGTGATCACTCGTGTAATTTTAGCGTCTTTAAAACGTAGAAAACACCCTGCATAGAATCGAATTCGTTGTGTTTCAATGGTAGCATCGACGACTCCCTTTTACGTTCGGGTTTAACCACAGTTATCTTGTCGCGTGAAACGCGTTTAATTAATCAGACAAATGATATTTAGGAAGAACGAATATATATCCGCGGCTAGGTGGCATAAAACGCCGAAAAGTACCACCGTTAGCTATTACGATACTATCGTCGTGCGCACCCGATGGCTGGCTTTTCTTTTACTTTGTTCACGAGCCACAACCGGCGATTGGCGTTGTAAGCGCTATTTATAGAGCAGCGCCGGCGCCCTGCCAAACTCTCTACAGAATATTTGACAGTAAACTTGTTTATAATACTTTTTTAATTATGACAAGGCTATGCATCTATCGACACTCTTACAACGAATATATAACACCCTCTCTCGTTTATGCTTCTTTCAATATAGTACGAGCAATGATTCGCTTCTAAAACTATACTCAAATCGATCGTTAGTAACCGTGAATTGATAAAGAAGTATTCTACTCTAACGGCCACCGAAAAGTTGGGCCACTGGCTGCAGTAAAGGCGGCTAGTCTCCTGGAGACTTCAATGCGTGGTCAAGAATACCGAAACAAATGCAATGCTTATTATTGAACTCACTTCTATTTGAATTACATTCTACTATAAAATTACTATTATAAAAATTAAATATATTTTTTTAATTTTAATAAACAATCTACAAAAGCTTGTTTAACAAAATTAAATTGTTAGCGCCTGTGTATAGGCTACCCGACCAGCATGAATCCGACAGGTGCCACCACCTTGCGGAATAATTTGCGTGATCTAGTAACAGTAAGGTATCAATGTAGACAGGTTGTGTGTTCATAATCCTACAAAATACTTGTTATTTATGAAATAAATATTATACTCTAAATAGTTTTACCTGTATATTTTATTCAGAACACCTATTGCAGACTTTTCCTTTGATCCTCTTCCCTAGTAATGAAAGTATACGTAGTTTCTTATTGAAACTGCAACTGCAAGCACAGGGTTCAGAAAGAGTATAATACATAACTATATTCATTACAATCGTGTGTTCCAATGGTCGCGGAAAGCGATTGTGTCGAGCAGCAAAGAAGAAGGGGATTTTCATGTCGGTTCAGTGAGCTCATGCACGTCGGACTACGCTCGTCGACAACGGCACAATCCGGAAATCTCTAAGACCAAAAATGGCGTTTCTCGTGTAGCTTATTGCCACACCGAAGAAATTCTGGCATTGTCAACAAAATAAGCAGACTCTGTCTAGAAGAGAATCGCGTAAATCGAAGGGCAGATTTCGAGGATTAATTTTCATGAAATTTCGTGTCCAAGAGGCCCCTTTAGAAAACGATCGACGTAAATATCAGTTCACATGCCAAACATTCTTACATCTCTGATTATGTGAGTTGATTATGTGAACGTGTAAGATGCTTTGTGTCTATAATTTTTATTGCGACTAAGTGAAACATCGCTCTTTCTGATTCTGATATTTAAATACTCCCATTGTATCTTTTTTTGCGTATTCTTTAAATAAAGCCACCCTAAATCGCGCTCTTTTGCCGAAGATTTCGATTGGTCGATTCATCGACTGTTCAATGAATGAATTTCAACCGGTACCGAAACGTACGAATCATCAAGTGAACTTTACTTAAAAACAAAAAGCAAAAATGTGAAAAATCAAACACGGTGAAAGTGTAAGAAAAAGAATTGAATTTTTTGTGTGCGAGCATCTCTCTTGAAGTTTCTCACGAAACATAGTGGAATAAGAACGTGTTACGCTCTTTTATATTTCTATAACCAAGCGATTTCTCATACCACGTTATCGTTACCTTGTTATTTCTTCTATCCGCATTAATGTAACACGTGTTATTTCACAAAAAAGTGTTATGCTAAACTTAAAGTGCTGTGAAATATTAGTCGGTAAGTTCAGTCATATTTTTATTTTCACTGTTTTATCTTATTTCTTATAATAAGATAATAACGTGGACAATCGATAACGTAGTCGAACGAGAAATTCGCTCGGTTTTGGTATAAAATTTTTACGCACTTACGCAAGCTTCACCGGTCGAGCGAGATTTTAAGACAACAGTGATGTCATAACACGGCGCAACGCTACGAAGCAATACCTTTGGCACGTGCAGCTGATGTCACGTTAATATATCATCCTAACGATCTTAGAATCCAGTGTAATCGATAATTAGAATTTTTATTCGATACTTAATGCATCCTGCATACACGTCAGCCTCCTTTTTTTCCGTAGAATTCCTTTCATGGCGTAGAGGAAAAAAAAAAAAAAAACATAGATGGAAGTATAATATCTTTTCTACGCTTTCTTGCTTCTTTTCTCTCGGCTGTAACTGTACAGGATTTAATGAATTCGAATGAAGTAGCGGGCCTGTTGTAGTTATGCAGCTTAAAGGATATGTGCGAACTGCAGGATGCATCGATGATCAGAGATGCAGTAGTGTTTGTGTAGACACTTTCACCGTGAGAAATTTTTTCGTCAATTCATCTCATCCCGTGCAACTAGAGTACCATCGTTAACCGAGTATTTTTTACACGAACATACACGACGTCGTCAATCGCTTAATTGCCGTATGGAGTTTGATTATCATAGAGTAATATCGTTCATCGGACTACTTGACCCGCGGTTAATTTTTCAATTGTCCCGATAGAGATTAATTGCGTTTCGCGATGTCTTTTGACAAAACAATTTTTCTTTTCAATTTCCTTGTTTATTTATCATATATCTATCGATATTATTAATCCGCGTCGATAGTAATAAACGATTGTGTGCTGTAATGTTGAAAGAAAGGAACGAAAATGGAGATGACCGAACAATTACGACCCGAAGAGTTAGTGGGTTTGGTGGCCCGATCCGCGGAGGGTACGGCAGCCAAAGGGATGCCTATCAAAGGACACGAAGATCTATGGGTAGAGATTCAAGCGAACACCTTTAGGAATTGGGTGAACGAACACCTAAAGCACGCCTCGGATGTCGCCGATGGTCCTGTGATTGATCTCGCCGAGGATTTTCGGGATGGTACTCGACTTTGCGCTTTGGTCGAGGTACTCACTAAACGGCGTTTACCCCGATGGAACCCTAGACCGGCTAATCAACACCACCATTTGGAAAATGTATCCACCGCTCTTCAGGCCATCGAGGCTGATGGTGTAAAACTTGTTAATATCGGTAATTCAAATTCATTTCTTTTTTTCAAGGTGATCTTTTAAATGAATTAACATATGTACCTTTGTTGTCCATCACTTTATAGCCCATAAAAAGGTAAATTCAACGACATAAGTCTGTTGACCTTCAGGCGATGGTCAACTAAAAATGAACAAATTTCCAGGGACCATCCTGTGTAATATAGAACAGAGAACACATTTTCAATGTCAACAATGAAAAATAATACAGAGAAATGTTTGTAACAATGATAAAAAGTAAAATGTAAACGTGAGTCACGCGTCGATAATATAATAATTAAATGTAGACCATTATTACAAAACTTCGCGTGGAATATATCTACCTCCGGTGTCTATTAACATTTAGCGAGTTCTACATGTATAGTAATTTTTAATTCATATGCGAGACATTGCAATTATCTTTCGAAATGAAAAAAAAAAAAAAAGAAAAAAGTACAGTTGTCACGTCACTGCTTGCAAATCGAACTTCGAGGTCGTTGCCTTTCTTGTGTTCACTCGGCGCCTACGAGACCGTTCAGTACCATTACAATTATACTCCTGTACCTACCGACTAACTTAATTTCAAGTGTATGAGTGGTAAAATGGCGCATCGACGATAAATCATACACGTATACACGCTCGAAGATATGTCTTCAACACGAACGAAGAATGCGTTAATAATGTATTAACAGGAACATCCTGAAGAAAATTCTTACCAAGGGAATGCGTTTTGACTCTTTTAATATAAAGTATTCGAATACTCGGCGGAGATCGCAGAGCTATTCGTTTTGGAAGAGACTAAAGTAAAATTTTATCAATTTCCTGTACAAACAACGAGTACTTTTCTAAACGACCGCATTTCCTTTTAACGTTTCAGTTCATACGTGTAATATGTAAATGTACGTATGTAATGAGTCATGTTTTTCCAACAGAAATACCTGGAAGCTTTAGTCGATTTATGGGTAAATCTCGTTTTTCGATGCCCATTTTGGCGACTGACATATAGTACTGTCCAACGCGTTCCACTGATATTTAAATGACCTTTTGCATACCGATAGATCTTGATGTTCCGAAGCTTTCTACTATATATAGCTTTACTCGTACACGGTTGAAATAGTTTACTTATCTACTCTAGTACGTATAAGCATCGTTTTCAAGCGATGAATGTTGCATGATTGATAAGGAGTTCGATTAGGGGAGCCCTATCTTCAAATCCCAGGGAAAGAATTATTACACAGCAATCTTGTTAATATCGAGGGTATAACATTTGAATTTTTGTTACAGGTAACGTGGATATCGTCAATGGAAATCTAAAATTGATTCTCGGTCTAATATGGTCGCTCATTGTAAGGTACCAAATAGGCAAGTCCAAGTTCCCTCCAAGGAAACTCATGCTCGCATGGCTCAAGGTCGGTATACGTAATTGCACAAATAACCTTGCTGCATCGCGACTACAATCTCAATGTAATCGTATATATATATATATGTATATTTAAGAAAAATATCATTCTTCAATCGGATATTTCACCAAATATGATGTTTAGTGACTGAAGGAAAGATTCATTTATTTACAGGCTGTTTTACCGGAATGTAGAGTAAACAATTTTACGACAGACTGGAACTCTGGCGTATATCTGAGCGCGTTGCTCGATTATTGTCAACCAGGTCTATTCCCGCACTGGCGTCAACTCGATTATAACGACAGGTATACTAGGAAAATATGTTGTTACATTAAAGATTAATTAAATGTATTACTTTAGTATAATGTTCACTATTAATTATCAGTCGATTTCATCAAGAAGGTATGAATTTATTAGAATGTGAATGTTGCATTGAACTCAGGACGTTCTTCCCAGGTATAGGCTCTTTTCTACCTGGATGATTGTGTGAGAATCGCGGAGTGAATTTTTGTGAGAATGGTTTTTGATGAAAAGTAGAAGTTAAGGTAAATTGTACATTAAATTTCCAGTGTATACAATTGCCGAAAGGCTATGGAGATTTCAAAACGCGAATTCGACATACCTATGGTATTGGAACCAGAGTACCTTGCGTCTCCTTATTTGGACGAACTATCGGGAATGACCTACTTATCGTACTTCATGAAAGAAGGTTCACCAGGTTTTCACGCGACTTTACAATGGGTTAACTCGCAATTACCTCACCACCCAGTACAAAACTTTACGGTGAGCGATTGTTCGTTAAAATTTCAGTTGTAGGACAAACACGTTTTCTTATGATTTAATCTATTCTTGCAGACCGATTGGAACGATGGCAGAGTTTTGTGTAGTATCGTCAGGAATTTAGGCGGACCAGCTCCAGCCTACGATAAAATCAATACAGATCCTTCTGTATGGGAACACAATATACAAATGGGTAAGGATTGGTATATAATTTCTTCCTGGGAATACTTCACATTTACATCATATTTCCTTGAAGGTATCGATGGAGGGAAGAAACTAGGCGTGGAGCCGATTCTGAAGGCGAAAGACATGGCTGATCAGAACGTAGAGCATTTAGGCGTTATGGCATATGCGGCATATTTTCAATGGGTTAAGCCTCGCCCTCAAGCGAGCAAACAAATTGTTGTACACATAGACAGCACTTCCGCTAGAGTACAACAGCCGGTTAGTTGGTTAATTGTTTGAAAAGCTTCATCAATTGTTTCAAAATCTCCTAACAAGTCGTTCTATGATCGTCGGCATTCTTACTTATTAACGATCATTATCCGCAGGCGCACTTCAAATTGGAAATTCTTACTAAAGAAGTGAATACAAGGGAAGTACGTGGTGAAGTAATAAGTCCTAGCGGACGAGTAGAATGTAGGCTTACTTGGAATGGAGTTCATGGAAAAGGTACCTTCGTACCTACAGAAGTCGGGATGCACAAGGTTTGCGTTAATAACTTTAAACGAACGAACAAAATTATTTATCGTTTATCGGATATTTCAGCTAATGGTATATAACGACGGGGAATTAGTAGACGGATGTCCCTATTATTTTAGAGTTTTACCTCCTTTGACCAAAATAAAATCACCTGGTATGGATCCGTGCGCTATAGGATCTATCGTCGAAGTTCTAGTCAATAGTTACGGTAAGTATTTGGTAAAAAGACTTTCCTGCAGGATGTAAATTATGTAATATGAACACTTTAGGAACTAGTCATGATGGCATTGATGTGACTGCATGGTCTCCAACTGGAAGATCTTTGTCCTGTCCAGTTAAAGAAAACGATGGTGTACATACCGCCACTTTTCAACCTGACGAAACAGGAGAGTGGAGTATCGCGATAACTCACAAAGGAAACCATATACAAGGCGGTCCTTTTACCTGCTTTGTATTCGATCCTAATGGAATAAAGGTAAAGTCCGTGTTTTAATTTCTTCGACGAGCGTTGATGACATTTCGTTAATATCTACAGTTATTGGACACGGATGGTGCTATGCCCGGTCAGCCGTTTTCTTTCATCGTCGATGCGACAGGAACCGGAGGTCTCGGCGACGTTATAATAGATTTAGTTCACGATAAGCAGTCAGTACCTTTCAGAATAGAAGATTTCGGACACATGCAATATCGAGTATCCTTCGTACCATCTGATTCCGGAAAGTATAGGGTTTACCTATACTTCAATGGCTCCGATGTTCGAGGCTCCCCATTTTCCATTCGTGTGGGAACTCAAAAGGGATCGAGAAGATCAAAGGAATCAACGTCTAGCCTCGATAGAACGAAATTGTCTTCGTTGGAAAGACGAATGAACGGTCTAAATGTTTCGATAGAGACAGACCGGTCCAGTCCTGTTCAAAAACCTTACTCTTCGCCCACGTATAAATTATCAAGCCCTACCCAACACGTACGCGATTATTCTCCCGTACGTCAGACTGCTCCAGTATACAAGACGTCGAATAATTACACGGTAGAAAATTCTAATTCAACGTATCATACGTCGACTTCGTTTAATCAAACTCGATCTCCGAATCAAGGCCACAGCCCTGTTTCGCGAAATCTTCACAGTCCATCGCTGGTGAAGGAAACGAAAGAAACATATTCCAGTACTACGTACAATCAATCGAGATCACCGACCGTACAAAGTCCAAGCTTTTCGAGGGAATCAAAAGACGGTTACACGTCGAATACGATAAATAGATCTCGTTCTCCGAATCCAAGCCCAACTGCCCATGGCTCGAGATACTCTCCGATCATTAAAGAATCTCGGGAGATTTATAGCTCGGGATCATTGAAGAGATCTCGATCACCGACTCAAAGCCCGATGGCATATCGCAGCGGAACGCAAAGTCCTGTTAATCGAAGCTTCAGTCCAAGAAGCAACGACAGTTTTAACAGAAAAATTTCGATGGATAATGGAACCGTCGACACGAGCAGTAACGTTAGAGTGTCGTCGATGGTTGGCGGTACCTCCAGACGAGATTCATGGGATGCCATAGAAAAGACAAAATCATTATTATCTTATGGTAGTTTGGAATCGCTCGCGAATCTGGCTAATAGTTCAGCCACTTTCGAAGACACGAATACCTCCAGTTTTTTCAATAACAATTGCAAGAATGCACAGAATTATAGCTCGAAAAATATGTCGCATACACACCACAGTTCTTCCAGTTATGTTTCCAGTCAGAAACTTTCAACTTCCGATTACACCGCGTCTCAGAAGTTTAATAATGAAAACCATAATGCTCGAGCACAGACACATGGAATCCTTAAGAATAAAAATAATAATTATTACAAAGGTGTCGATACGACCGATGGAACTAACGAGCGATATCTCAATAATGGAGTTTCTAATTATTCGTCAACGCAAGGAAAAGCTTCTGAACTTGTAACTGGAAATGCACTGGAAATGTTACCGCTACACAGACCGACTACTTTTACCATTGATTCAAATGTAGATCAAAATAAAGTTACCGTCACTGTTTCTGGTGAGTTCTCTATCATACTCCATATAAATGTTAAAGAGTAATAATATTAATAATTCAATTTCAGGTCCGAATGGCAAAACGATCCCTGTACAAAAGTCAACTCTCAGAGGTTTAACGTATACGATAACTGCAGAAGAAGTTGGGGAACATATCATTCAGATTCTAATAAACGGTCAACATATTCAAGGCTCTCCATTCAGGTTTGTAGATGATAAATTGAATAAAATAAATAGGTGAATAATTGAAAATTAATTGCTTATTAATTCAGATCACAAGCGTACAATGCTCGTGCTATCCAAATTGGGAACATTCCGAATGGCGTTGTTAATCAACCAGTAGAATTTGAAAGTACGTCATTGAATATACTTCAAATGTTATTGTAAAATGAATATTTTTTGTGAATATGTTTCTCGCGTTTCTTTTCCAGTTGACGGATCTAAAGCCGGATCTGGAAATTTAGAAATTCTCGTAAATGGTGGTCACGTAACTAGCTTTGTCAGGGCTTTGGGTAGCCAACGATTTCTGGCATCGTTCGTACCCCACGAAGCTGTTGTACACCTTGTAGAAATGACGTTCAACGGTGAAGTTGTACCCGGTAAGTCTTTTTTTTTTTTTTCTTATATGGATACAAGATGAATGAAAATGTTGTGTCTTTTTTACACGATAAGAACCGTTTCTTTTTCACTCATCAAACAACTTTCCTTTCAACTCTGTCATAGTAAATTATTAATTGTGAAAGAAGTATCTTAGTGAAAGTGATTTATCATTCTGTAAAGTTCAACGAACAAAGTAATCGTGTATAATAGTAATACTCTTCAAAGAATTTACTTGTTCACTGAAAGAAAATCAACTATTCTGTATAATGTTTGATATATCTATCAGAAATATCCGTGCAGCTATTAATTACATGACCAATATTGATTAACTTTTGTATTTATAATTATTATTTTCTTTTCCATCTTTATGAAAATATTTCATAATAATTATTTGCCGGTTCACGAGCAGGTACTAATACCTGTTAGTTAAGACAACAGGTCATCGGTCAGGTCATTGACTTGCGATTTCACGCATCCACGTGATGTTCCACTGACACATATCCGACGTCATCGTTTCCTTTCCTTCTTGAATTTTTTTCCTTTCGTTTATTTAACGAAGCATACCGCACGCTATGCCTATTTAATTAATCTCATTATATATATTTCTATCATATAACGTCGTACGTTAGGGCTTTTTTTTTTAATAATCTGCTTTCTCATCGTTGCGTAAGAACCTTAAGAGAAAATTAAAAATGGACAATACCACGTTTCTTTTATATACCGACGTACTCGTTTGCAATACTCTTTGTCCTGTTTTACCATAAAACTGGAACACGGATTCATTCGCTACGCCATTGTAAATCTACGAAGAATATTATTCGCGTAGAGGGGTGCATTCCGCGATCATGATTGCACGTGGCCTACAATACTGCAAGGATGTTTGTTGGAATTCCATTAAATTCTCGAGTTGTTTCAAGCATCAACGTCAAGGCGTTTCAAAATATCTATTCCAGTATATTCGATTAAACCGGGGGTGGGCAATTGTTTTGGCTCGGTGGCCAATTTGTGGAAGCGGAGCACCTATTAAAATGATTACATTCCATAAAAATCGATCAATATAAATTCAATAAAATAGTGGCAGTTTTATTGCCGGGAAGAAAATCTCGGTTCAAAATGGATTTTTCTATCTTAGTGTCCTATTTGCCCATCCCTGGATTAAACTATAATTTTTGAAATTCCGTAACATTTTATTATAACGGGGATAAAAGTAAAAATTGAATTCCGTATCGGTTAAGATCTCTTTGCAAGCATACGGTGTTTGCTGTTAGTAGTCACGGACGATCAACGTGACATTAAACGAGTTAATGCTTTTATCTAGCGGTGTTAGCGACCAGTTTGCATAATATTCGTGCATTATCAATTGAAAAGGAATATCGTGGTGGATCGTAGGTGTGGTCACGATGGTAAAGTCGTTGTATGCTCGAAGACGTATTTGGTCATGAACAAGGATAGTCGACCCCTACCTACGTACCACATGTAAATGTAATTCCCGTAAACTGGCCGTGCTATCTTATAACGATCCTTATAATCTTCCACGTGATTTTTCGATTTTAATTCCGGTACTTGTACGTATTAATTAGATGGAACGATGTAAATAAGAATTATCGTTATACAAGACAAAATTGGCACGGATAGTTATGAATTGTTTCTTCCGATGGCGTTCTACCAGCGTATACATAATCGTAATATTCTGATTCGTATAATTACAGTACCGTTTTTGTATGATCTTATGCAAGACCGAGTATGCCCTGCACCGTTATTAGTTATCGAGGAAGAAATGTTTGCGGTTGTTTCGTTCGCCGAATAACTCACGGCTCGGTGACATGTGGAATGCGTTCCTATGCGTTTTACCGTGTCAGGCACAATATTGCCAATTTCCCTATTCCACTTGCTTCGTCTTTCTCTCATTACAGGTGTCCTAATTCGATTATTTGATACACGGGCTTAGGGCAATTGCCCCTGGCTGCTGCTGCCGCCCTACACTACATACGAGCGGTTCTACTCCTAACGTACATCATTAAAATTACTAGCCCATTATGACGCGCAAATCACCGTAACACTTGATGAGAATACATATCGGCTATGAAAGTATCGATTATGCGTTAATTACGTTACCATTCGTGCAGCGACAGTTAAATATATCATTCTTATATAACTTTATTCTTATTCGATGAGTAACGCCTCAAGTATGGAATAAAAAAAAAAGTATACTAATCAAGAAAGATTCTATCGGTGAAAATCTATCGAAATCAGTTATTTTCATAATCATCCTTATCCTAAACCGACAACTTTGCATAAGAAAGATGTTATGAAATATTAATAGTATTGATGAAACCCACGTTTATAAAGTTGAATCACACTTCAAGGAAACAATACGGTAGTACGTATACGCGAGCTGGAACTTATTAGATTCAATTGATTTCGATTTATTCTTCTATAAACGATGGCTTGGATCTAACGATTCGGGACGAGTTTTCTTCAACTATGTTCGAACAACCGGTGCATCCGGAACATTCGATAAGAGAAAAAGTTTTCGAAAATTTTGGAACGAGTTACTTTCCGTACGACCCGTTATGTCGGGGAATGCAGTGATTCTTGGGCCACAGTCTCTTCGTTGTAACTCTTCTCTTTAAGAATGTGGCGCAAAGCGATTCTCGATGAAAAAAAAAAAAAAAGCTTAATGATACTTTTAACGTAAATTAAAATCTGTTTGGAAGGACTAACTTTAAAAACTGTGTTTTTTATGTACGACTTCCAATGTCAAATACGAACTTGAACACCGTTCAATCGAACGTGTATGAACACGACACATTCCTAACATTTTCTAGTTCAAGTCGCGTTGCATACATCCAAGACTTGTTTTGACATGCGTTTCGCGTCGTCGATCGTGCAGCATTGGAACTCGATTATTAATTAGAATCCTGACGAGTTGAAGAATTGCACTTTTGTTCCTAACGTTTTATCAAACGATATTAACGATTGATCGTCCTCAATTATAAATTACACTCCTTTTTTTATCCTGGTTACTTTAAAGTAAGCCAATGTTCAATGCAAACAGTGAGATTTCTATTTGCGGCCGACCTTAAGGTATCGAAATACGCAGATCAGGTATCTTGTGAACGTACAGACGGTAGCCGGTCGAACGAGCAAGAAACGGATGGGGATAACAGTGTCGTATTACGTTCCTCGAACTCCCTGCACTAAGTTAAACAATTTTTTAATCAAATTGAAATCTAAAAATCATTTAAATCTATGTTACAATAAACGTGTGTACTTATCTTCCAGCGTTTTCATTTCCTTGTTATTCGTATTAACAGATTCTTAACTTGGCGAGCAGTTATCTCAGGTGTAATATTGACTTAAATAACATTAATGACAAGGATCTGTTCTTAATAACAAATTACCTAAAATATTGTTAACATATGATATAAATAAATGTAAGAAGAATAATGGTGTATACCAGGGATCATCAAAGGGGTCGATTCGATCTAGGGGATAAGAGAATTAGCAAATTTTTAGGGGTCAATGATCAAAATAGTTTGGTGGCCCCTGGTGTATACCAACAAAAATACGTCCCTGGTTTTGGGTCCGAACGGCAACCCACAGTGGTAGTGGCAGCTACACTCTGTCCCGTCGCTAGACTCGTTCGAGTCTGTCGTGAATCGCGACCTGCTGACGTTTCTTCATCAAGAAATCGACGTTACAAAATTCTTCAGCTCATCTCAATTATTCGATTCGTTGCTTTACTCTTTGTTTCCTTTAAAAAGTTGTGCCATAATGGATTTCCGAGAGAGTCGTTCTCAATTAGTATCTGTTGAAAATCGTCATATAATCACGTTAGTTCGCGTACACTTGTGAAAACTCGATACCTGTTCGTACTTATGGCCGAGATCGATGTGTATCCCATAATGGAGTTTTATTATTAATTGATATACAGTGTGGTTTATTAACAACGTTGCGGTGTTTGGTTCATCCATAACTTAATTAAGTTCTACATTTTTTTTTTCTCTTAAGGTTTTCAGCGCTTTTCAGGTTTTCTGAACTAAAATAAAGAGTGATCAGGGTAATTTGGTTTTTCGTATATTATACGTACTTACGCGAATATCAGTATTCCCTTTGCTGGATTCCAATAAACTTACTTTCGTGAACTTTCGCGCGATGATTATGAAAGTTATTTCTTTTCTGTGATCTGCGCGTGCCCTTATCCCAGATATGAAGGTTAGAAGGCATTTGATTGGAGTCACGTTGTACTTCCGGGAAACTGGAATTTGATTCAAAATCTCACAACTGCAAACAAATTTTTTTCCCGTTAAATAACTAAATACTTCATATCGCGAATCTGATAATTAAAATGATTAAATATTATATGCAAAGTATAAAAAAAAAAATATCTCGTGTATTTTATTCATATCATTTTGATGAATTTGCACGTAATTATAATATTAATTATAAATTGATAGGGTCACCGTGGCGTGTGGGCATCATGCCAGCCCCAAAAATGTCAGTGATTGGGGATTCCATAAGGTTGGTCCCTGCCGGTAGTCCTGCACTCTTTGAACTTTCTGCTCTTGGCTTTAATAGTAATGAAATTGATGTACAAATTATAAGTAAGTGTATGAAACAAAATATATGAATTGTTGTGGTATAAATTTCTTGTTGCATATGTGATAATTATTTCCAGCTCCTTCTAAAAGACATATACCAGCAAAGATTACAGAAGAGCCAGGACGTCCTGGAGAGTTTCGTGTTGAATTCACTCCAGTGGATGTAGGCAGCCACCTTGTGGAAGTAACCATCGCGGGACAGAAGCTACCGGCAGGTCCTCTTGTTGCCAAGGTGTACAACAGCAGTTTAATTCAAGTTACTGACATACCCAGTGCTGTTGTAGGACATGCCTGCCAATTCAGAGGTAAATAAGATTAGCTAACTACAGTATAAGGAATACAAGAAAATTGAAATCTTTTCTTATTATAGTTGATGCTAGTGCTGCTGGCGAAGGGCAGCTTGAAATTTCAATAAATGAAGGAGAAGTACCAAATCATGTTCAAGTGGTAGGAGGAGGCTGTTGTCTTGTATCTTTTACACCTGAAATTGCCAAACCACACTACATTGATATAAAATTCAATGGAGAAGCAGTGAAAGGATGCCCTTTCATTTGTAATGTATCCGACACAAGTAGAGTAACATTAAGTTTAAATCATCTGGAATTAATTCCAGTAGATCAGCCTGCTAGTTTTCATATGGGGGTTGATGGTAGTGGCAGTGCAGAACTTGCAGTTTCTGTAAGAGGTTGGTAATAAGAAACATAATAACGTGATAAAGTATTATAAAATATTTAAAAAATGTATATTCCAGGGCCAAATAGTGAATTACCTGTTAAAGTAACCGGAGATATAAAAAGTGGTTTCACGGCAGAATTTATCCCAAAAGACGTTGGCGTTCATTCAATTAGCGTCGAGTATAATGGCCATCCTGTAAATGGCACACCGTTTTTAGCTAAAGCGTTTAATGCGGATAAAGTACTAATAGGCCCTGTTGCTAGAGGAAGTGTTGGTCAGCCGACGCATTTCACCGGTACGCATTCATTGAACAGGAAATAATGTTGAGACATGTTGGAATAACTCCAAGATCCTTGCTATTCTCTTATCTTCCTTTTTTTTAGTTGACGCGAGTCAAGCTGGTGAAGGAAATTTAGAAATTACGATATCGGCTCGAAGTCAGAACATACCAACACAAGTCACACCACAGGGAAATGCTCGATTTTCAGTTAGCTTCGTACCATTTGAAGCGTGTGAACATATAATTAATATAGCCTTCAACAAACGAACCGTACCAGGCTGCCCGATTGTAACTCGGGTAGGTGGTGATAGTCATGTAACTGTGAGTGGGCAGGCATTAAACAGTGCTGGGTTAGGGCGACAAAGTTATCTTACCGTCAGTAATGTTGCCGGTAGCTTGGAAGATTTAGAAGTTAATGTTGAAGGTAAATTTATGTCTCTTTTTTTTTTTTCTTTCATTCATGTGGTTCGTATGTGTATAGCGCATGTACATCTTTCAATTCAAAATGTATCTTCGTACTTTTGCACAAAAATCACTTCCTTTATGGTGATATCATATTTTTTTTTGTGATTGATGTGTTGTTTTTACATCTAACATTCTAATCCGGTATTACAAGATCTTACGCACAGTGGTTTCACCGACGACCGAAAGTATAAGCACCTTCTATGTTTCGTCTACAACCATCGTGGTCAAGTTACTGGAATTTCTGTTTGTTTTTAATAATTAATTGAATACACATTTTGTTTGTTAATTACGGTGGAAACTTGCACGAAGTTCTACCTTTGTGTTATTCTATCTTGTTAATCTTTAGCTTGAGAGCAATTCTCTCTTTGTTGCAGGTCGGCCAGCTTTCAGACTACGACATTACTAGACTTCTCAAACAAAACTAATTTCATTCTTATCTTAGTAATGGAGTATAATAAATTGGTGGTGGGTTTCTAACTTAACATCTTCTAAAACTGTTGCATAGAGATAGTATCTCGCGTTGTTCTCGTGCCTTTTTGATTGTTAGTTACCACCTTAAGATATTATATGGGCTTTGGTTCCGCTCTGGTAGATAATTTATTAAAGCGGTGACTAACATTTCACAAATTTAGTTCTTATTATCGAACCAAATTAAAATATGTATTAGAAGCGCGACACCCATTTCATGGTGCTATACGTATGTACGCGTTGCTACATTTCATTTAAAATCCTAACTACTGTGGCACTCGAGTATAGAATTTTGAATTTGAGATTTTACATATTGCTTTAATCAATGTGCCAGTGCTATCATTTATTTGAGTAGTACATATTTAGTCCTTAAGTAAAGCAACAATGAAAAATTTCAAAATTTTTTATATATTTTGCTTCAGTTGTTCCGTTCGTATCATTCTGATATTATAATAACATTCTGTAACAGATATAAAATGAATTAACCATTAATCTAAAATTAATTACCACGTAATACCATTAACTTACGAATTAGTGCATTTTTATGAATTTTTAGCCATCATTTTGTCATAACAGTTCATATACACGTATATATCGCATTTTTAATAAAATATTGCTTATTGCAATTAAAAACTTAACATTTAAAGAAAAGAGAACTTTTTCGACGCGCGTAAACCCCTGATCATATACTTTTGGTGTCCTGCTGATCCACCCTAGTAGTTGGTTGACTAAATTGTATTAAACAACTAACCGGCGGACTTGATAGGACCCAACGGACAGGCCGTACCAGCTCAAGTCACTGACAACAAAGACACAACATGCAGCGTAGCATTTACACCGAGAGTAGTTGGAGAGCACAGAATTTCGGTAAGCCATCGGAATGTTCCTGTGATTGGTAGTCCATTTAGCTGCAAAGTGTATGACGTGACTGCTATCAAAGTAAAGGATGCTAAATATGGTGTTATTGGAATGCCTGTAACTTTCTTAGGTATTGTCTTCATATTTCAGAATGTTTTGTGATACATTATAACCGTGTCAAAATGTTATTAAATTTTCAGTTTTTCCTTTTCTCATTTTTTCATTTTTAGTTGAAACTAGTCAGGCTGGACCGGGAAACTTAGAGGTAACGGTAAATGGTGGCCGTGTACCCACGTCTGCTCAAGCACAAGGACCACACACGTATGCGATATCATTCACGCCTAGGGAGCCAATTATACATACCGTAGACTTGAGATTTAACGGAGAAGATGTACCTGGTAGCCCTTTTAGCTGTCAGGTATTATATTGTCATTGATAAGAAATGATTATTAAAGCATTCTCTTAGAAAATTACAAATGTTAGGAAAGATTAATTGCTGTTAAAACGATAGGTGAGCGACACAGCAAAAGTAATAATAACCGAAGGGCTTGAAAAGGTATCTGTAAATCGTTTGACGACATTTACGATAGAAGCAGATACTTCCTTAGGGGTACCGACTGTAGAAGTTCTTTCGCCTACAAGAGAAAGTTTACTGGTTCATGTTAAACAAAATGGGCACGGATCTTATAACGCAGGTTTCACACCAAAAGATGTTGGTATGTGAAATAATAAGAAACAATAAAAATGAATATTAAAATACTATATACATATAAACAAAATACATACCATTAATAGGTGACCATAGTGTTGAAGTGAAATTAAATGGATCGCACGTCGAAGGTAGTCCTTTCTTAGTAAAAGCTTATAATGCAGATAAAGTAAAAGTAACAGACATAAACAGCGGTGTTGTCGGGAAACCGGTCTTCTTTAGCAGTAAGTGGTACCCTTTAATTAATATACTATATTCAGATTGTAATTTATTTATATGCATTTGTTTTAACTTACAGTTAATGCTAGCCAAGCAGGTGCTGGTAATCTTGAGATCATTGTTGCGGTGAATGGTAAAAATGTACCGAATTATGTACAAAGCGAAGGAAATGCAAAATTTAGAGTTAATTTTAAGCCACAGGAAGCTGCTGTACACAGTCTTAGCGTTCGTTTCAACGGGGAACCTGTGCCGGGTATGTAACGATTATGCATTAGATACGTATTTTTGCAATATTATGTAATAATATTACATTTTTAGGTTCACCATTCAGTTGTAAAGTAGTCGGCGCGGGTCAAGCCATAATCACAGGGCACAATTTAAAAATGGGAGCTGTAAAGCAATTGATATCGTTCATCGTAGATCCACAATCTCCCTTAGCAAATTGCGATGTAATTGTAACACCTTCGTCAAATATATCTCTTCCCATAACGATAGAACCTGTGGAAGGAAAATATAATATTAGTTTCGTACCGATAGAAGTAGGCAGACATAACATTAGTATATTAGTAGATGGTGAACACGTGAAAGGATCCCCGTTTGCTTGTAATATTTACGACGTTACAAAGGTAATTTATTTAATACCCTTTGGAAAATATTTTTCTCAATAACATAGTTTAATAAAACCTGACACAGGTACACGTATCGGGTCTTACGGAGGCATTATTGGGCCAAGCGACAACATTTACAGTTGATGCTGCTGAAGCTGGCGAAGGTACATTGGAATTAGTAGTCAGCACGGAAAATAATACAGTTAAAGCTGAAGTAGTTGCCTGTGCTCGTGGATTATATGATGTCACGTTTGTTCCCCAAACTACTAGCACTCACTACGTTAATATCAGTTTTAACGATGATAATGTACCAGGTTTGTGATTTAGTTTTTTTTTCATCGGTTGATATTAATATTGACAAAATCATCAATGCTTATCGCTATTGTACATTAGGAAGTCCGTTTAAATGCCCAGTAGTTAGTACTATGTTAGACGGACCATCTATGATCCGAGTCGGCAATACAGCATACATGGACTTGGAAATGCCAGGTTTAGAGGGACCCGTATCTGCTGAAGTAACAGGTAACATACTTTTTAAATATTAATTTAAATATTTTTTAAAACAAAATGTTTAATAATAGGCCCCGATGGTATTATTATTCCATGCACGTTGACGAAATTGTCATCCAATTTGTATCGAGTAGAAATTCGAACGCGACAAGTTGGAACTTACAGTGTAATATTTAATGATGGGCACAAGATGATTAGTTCTCAAACGCTTCAAGCTTTCGATCCAGGGAAAGTAACCATCAAAGAAGTGTCTGATGTAGTTTGCCATCGACCTGGCACTATCATAGGTACGGTATATGTGGTTTCATGGTTACCTGTACAAAAATTTTTTATAAATAATTATGTAACTTTCGTATAGTGGTTGCACCAAAAGAAGCTGGGCCTGGAAAATTGACTGTAAATGTACGCGCCGCCGGATCCGATGTCGATAGTGTAGTTAGAGAAGGAGAAAATGGTCTTTATGAAATAATTTTCCATCCTACACGAGCAGCTCCTCATAGAGTCCATATAAAATATAACGAAGTTCACATATCGGGTATATAATTCTACAATTATTAACTATTTCCTTTTTCAATCTAATTCATTTTATATTACTTACAGTATAATTTCATTTCAGGAAGTCCTTTAGATGTAACAGTTCGTAGTCCTACAGGAGGAAGAGAAGTAACAGCGACAGGATTAGGGCTGTACCAATCGTGTGTCGGAAAAGTAACTTCTTTTACCATTGAAACATTAGGCCGACCTGGAAAAGAATTTGACGTTGTAATTAGTGGACCGCAAGGCAATGCAGTTCCAGTTCGATGCTATCAGCATCGAGATGGAAATTTGCTTGCTGAATTTACGACAAATACTGTCGGTAAGTATCTTAGAGAAGGTAAAAATGATGAAGACATTAATAATACTGTTGTTCAAATAATTGAAACGTATTATTGTACCATTAGGGACATACAAAATCGATGTTTTGCAAGGTGCGAAGCCAGTGTTGGGTTCACCTTTTTTCTGTCAGGCTTTCGATGTTTCTAAAGTAAAATTGCAGGAGCTTGGCCCAATGACAGTGTCCGTGCACGATCATATCGCATTTAAAAGTATGTATTTAAAATAAGTTTAAGCAAGTTAATATTTCGTTACGTTTTCATTAATAAATTATTGCAGTAATAAAGACGGACGCTGGAATGGCGGACTTGGACGTAGTGGCAACAAGCCCGTTAGGTCAGGAACTTCCATTACAAGTTACTCCACTTAACGATGGTGGTGAAATGATTGAGTTTTCTCCTAGTGTACCTGGAACTTACATGATTAACATCACATACGGTAACATTTATTATCGAAATAAACTTCAACTGTTATATTAAACGTAAAAATTATTTTTTCTTACATTTTCTGTATCTAGGAGGATGTCATATTCCTGATAGCCCGGTAATGTGCACAGTTGATGCAGCTGGACAAGCTCGCGCGAAAGGAGAAGGATTATTAAGCGGTCATGTAGATAAAGCAGCGCATTTCATCGTTACTGGTACAAGAAGTCCTCCAGCAGTTCAGGTGCTGATAAATGGATTAAATATTTTTGAATACTATGAACTGTGTTCGATCAATTTAATACCTTTCCATAGGTTGATGGTCCGGATACTGTATCGAAAGCGATTATCGAAGCTGGAGCTAATCCTGGTACTTGGAATGTATCTTACATTCCAACCGAAGTTGGAGTTTTTGATATCAGAGTTGTGTCTGCTGGTCAACAGCTTCCTGGATCTCCGTGGCATCCAAAAATCATCGATACACGAAACCTTCGCGTAATCGGTAAATAATAATTAACGGTGTAAAGTTACGAAGGTCCGTTAATATTTATTTTATTTTTCTAAGGTGGTTGGTCAGCTGTATGCGATGATCTAGGAAGATTGAAGTTACATCCTTCGAACAAGATCAGTTTCGATACCGCTGAAGCAGGACCTGGCGAACTCAGTGGGAAAATAGGAGATCATGCGTTATCTTTTGAAATGACGTCAAATAATAGACTGAAGCTCATTCCGCCGCAATTAAGTGGTGGGGAGTACCGTTTAGAAATATTATTCAATGGAGTACCGTTTCCAGGAGCCCCAAAATTAGCAATCGTTCAAGATCTAGAGGTATTTGATAATACCGATTTAAATAAACATTAATCAACCTCAAAATATTAGAGTTTCTTTTTATTTCTAGCCACCTATGCAAGATACGAGTCGAGTTTTACTGAGAGGAAGAGGATTGACATCAGCTAAATGTGGAGAAGAAGTCAGCTTCACAATAGACGGCTCTCAGGCCGGCAGTGGAACACCAAAAGTACAACTTTTTTCACCAACCAATGAACTTAATGTAATGTTACAACATTTAGGAGACAGCGTTTACCGAGCAAGTTACATACCATTAACACCTGATCCTCTTTTAATGACCGTGTCTTGGAATGGGAGACAACTGAAAGGATGTCCTTTGCAAATAAATGTAACGAGCGCGGCTGATGCGTCGCGTGTTATTTGCTCCGGTGATGGATTGAAACACGGTATAGTTGGACAGGAAATAAGAAGTTTCATCGATACAAGACGCGCGGGGCCTGGTACGTATTTTATATCTGAAAGATATAAATTCAAAACTTGTCAGTGTGTTTCAAAGGGAAGTATTTCTTAAATGTTCAGGTGAATTAACGGCACACTGTGTGGGACCACATAAAGTGGCTTACTGTGAATTATACGATCACGGCGATGCAACGTTCACGTTGAACGTAAAGCCTCAAGAGGCTGGACGTCATGCATTAACCATTAAATATGCCGGAGAACATGTTCCGGGTTCTCCTTTTACGTTACGCGTTTCCGGAGCTCCTGATGCTTCAAAGGTAAAGTTCGCATATGGTGATAATATTGAGAATACAGAAATATTAATCTCACAAGAATATTCTCAATGATAGGTTCGAGTCTATGGACCAGGAATTGAACACGGAGTATTAGCAACATTTCAATCACGATTTATTTGCGATACACGAGGAGCTGGTGCCGGTCAGCTAACGGTAAGAGTTCGCGGTCCTAAAGGAGCGTTCAGAGTTGAAATGCAAAGAGAAACACAAAAGGATCGTATAATACTTTGTCGATACGATCCAACGGAACCAGGCGACTATAGGGTCGAAGTTCGTTGGGCGGGTGTCCTCGTACCGGGTTCTCCATTTCCCGTTAAAATCGTGGACACACAGGACGAATTATTAATGTTAACACAGGTAAAATTAGAGTAACAATAAGAAGATATAGGGAAGTGTCCGAATGTAGAAATCTGAAACATTCTATTAATTGCATTTTAGAGCGGAGACAATTACTCAACAGGACACCATACCATCGCGTCATGGCGTGGATCGCAAGCTATATTATAAGGTTACTGCGCATAAAGTTGTTATTATTTTGTATGAACTAATAATATATTTTCATAATATATAATTCTATTGTAACTTATCTAAATGTTTACAATAAAATGTATTTTGACAATGCTCGTTATTTTATAAACGATACCTTCCTGTTCCAATGCCTGTATGTAAGGCAAATAAATTTTTTTCGATACAAGAAGAGGTTGAAAGCTATACAAATTTAGTATTATATTTTTCATTTCGAACACGTTTATAATATTACCTCTTGCTTTTCTGTTCCAGTTTACTAAGCTCTCTGAACACATGCTTTTTCATTTCCTTTTGTCTCTTAAGTTTACGTCCTTCTTCAGCAGCAATTCGACTCTGAAGTGCTGCGATTCTTTGTTTAGTAGCTTGTTTTAATTGTCGTTGCTTATAGACATAATTAGTCCTGATCATTGTCATTACTTTTGCTATGTGCTCCTCTTTCGGTTCACGTACTACGGCTACTCTGTTATCCCTGAATCTAGGTGCCTGTTTACCAGGATGTGGCTTCGATTTTGGTTTATTCTTATACGGAAGCTCTTTCTGCAAAGTTCTTGGAATCACTAATGGTTTAAACACTTTTACTTCCCTTTCGACAGGGGTGTACATGGAATCTACGTTAGCTGGCACGTGTACATTCTTTTCTCTTTTCAATTGACCCGTCGTTTTCATTCCCTGCCAACGATTCTTTTCCTCGGCAGGCAACAAAAGCGACGTAACAGGATTGTAAAATTTCGGAACGTCAACCTTGTACCAAGTTCGACAAAAGACAATATCGCTCAAAAGTATTTTATCCTCGAACGTAGCGCGGAAGCATCCTTCTGGTTTCGATATAGCTTTCTTTATTTGACCCCGAATACCTGACACGGTTTTAATCTTAGCACCCTCGAATTTTGCAACCTCGAGGGACGAGTTAAACATATCTTTGATAAATGCCGTTTTCTTATAGATCTTCAATGGAACACCGGTTAGTTTCAATTTCTTCATAATCTGCGTGCTTTTATCCATCTCCACGATGGAACCTGTAGCCGCTATTCTAAATCCTGGTATCCTGGTCGCAACATCCTGAATGGCCACTACTCCAGTGCTCTGTGGAGTAATGGGACCCCAAAAGTGTGCCATGCACGCAACGTGCTCTGGCGTGTACTTTAACATCCTGCTCCTTAAATTATCTTCTAATTTTGAAAAAATCGGTAACGTCTGAAAACGTCTCCAGCCTATGGACAGTATCAATGGATCTTTACTTTTAAGAATCTTTGAATACCACCGATGCTTCTTTATCCTTGTCTGTACATAACCTATATTTTCTTCACCGTGCAAAAGCCCCCCGATAATTAACGGATAGGTGGGATCTAAATTAGTAATAAGCTCGCAGGGAACAGTCTCGATTTCGACACGGACGTACATGCCCGGTCGGTAACCTTCTAACTGTACCCTCGCGTTATCGTCTACCCCCTCGAACTCTGATTTGTTTAGATTCGCTTGTTTTTCTACTTCTAATTTAAGTTCGTCATAATACGTTTTTGCTTCCCCGGTATCGTACTCTAAATCGAATTGTTCCTTTAATTTTCTCTTTTTCTCGATAAGCTTCCTCCTTTCTTCTTTCTCGTCCTTTGTCGTCGCTTCTTTCGGCGCTTCCGCTTCATGTTTCTCGTTTGTTTCCAAGTCTTCAAAGTCTCCGTACAACTCTTCGTCGTCCATGTCGTCTAACCTCAAAAGCTCCTCTGCATCTTCCGAGTCTCTCCATTTACCTGTTACAAAACGATTCGTTACGAGTACCTTATTTTCCTCTGCCAACCAATCCCGGGGTGTTTCAGCGAAGAACACGGATTCTTCTTGATTCTGTAACTCTCTTTCTTGTATTTTTTGCTTTTGCTGTTCTTGAACTACTCGAAAGATACCACCTATCTCGTTATCATCATCTTTTTCTTCTTCGTTTTCCTCCTCTTTCTTTTCTTGCGTGTTACTTCTATCGAATACTCCGTAGACAATTTTCATTAGATTCTTGGTGTTTCGTTGACGATTTTCATACGCCTCCTTTGCTCTCTCGACTAAGTTTGATTTCCATTTCAATTCGTCTGCAACATCTTCTTCGTCCTTCATCTCTTCATCTTCTTCTTCTGCATCGTCATTTTCTTGAGATTTCTTTTCTTCAGAATCCTCGTCCTCAGAAGTTTCCTGCTGAAAGTCACTTTCTTTTCCTGAATCGTATTTTTCTAATCCAGTTCGTGACTCCGTATCGCTAAGCTCATCAAAACTTTCACTCTCACTATCTGTCTGTTCAATGGATTTATTTAAACCTGAATTTAACTGACTCAACGCTTCCGTGATTTTATTTTTTATCGCGATATCAGATTCCTTACTTAAAGAATGATAAACTTCTGGATTACCTGATGCTGAAGCAACACTTTCTTTAAAAACTTCAGGTTCTTCTTTCGTAGTATTAAGATCGCCGTCTTCTTGGTTTGAAATAACTAACGAACCCTTTTTCTTTTTACGTTTTACATTTTCCAACTGAGAACTTTTCTTTTTCCTCTTTGTACCTCGATCTTTAGGTTTTGTGCCTTCTTCATTCACTTCCTCTGTATTATCTTCTTCTTCATCTTCCTTTAATTCGTCATCATCGTCTTCATGATCAGTTTCCTCCGAATCTTCACCGTCTGAAGATTCTGCTGTTTCAGAATTGGAAAACAGGACCTTTCTTCTAACTCTACCATTGTCGATTACAGTTTCTCCGCTATATTTACCAAAATTTTCATCCATATCTTCCGACTTTATTGGCTCAGTGTTACTAAACAACTGCAATTCGCTGTGTTTTAATTTTTCATCTAGCGTTTCCTGGGTGTTCATCAAAGCTCCAACTAAGCCTGTATCTTCTTCTTTGTGAGAATGACTACCGCCTAATTCAACGTAAACGGCGTCTTTGTCGTAGACTATTCCACCAACTCCTGAGAAAGGTGCGTAAATCAGTCGCTCTTTTTCAACTAACGCGCGTTTCTTTAATTGTTCTGGTAAAGGGCATGGATCTGGGAGAAAGCTAACATCTCTAATTTTTAAATCCCCACATCCGGGAATGTGTACAGACGTTTCCTTGTTCAAAGGAACTCCTCTTACATACCTATAAATATCAATGCAACATAAATATAACTGAAAACAATATTTGTAGATAGACAAAATATTACATACCCATATAAACTTATTGTTCTATCAACTTTTGGATTTTGTCTGATTAATTCTGGTGATGTTAAATCTTCCACTCTGTCTGCTAGAATATAGGGATGCATAGTACGCCATGTTAAAGGTCTGAATTTCATTACAGATATAAATCTAGCCAGATTTTTAACTTCTGTACGTAAATATTCTCCATGAAGTAATCCAGATAAATAAAACAATTTTGCTCCTGCATAGACTTCTGTCCAAAACCTTTGTTTCAATGTTTTCTTAGTCTTCTTTAATTGCTTTGCATTTTTTATTAAATCTAAATGTGTCAAAACACCCATGATTCTGGGCATACCATGAACTTGACAAATATTTAAGAATTCAAATATCTCCATCTCAAAACCAAAGGATGCATCTATCAGTAACAGCACTAAGTCTGCTACTTTTGCAATATCTATCATACTGTTTATGTCATTGTTACATTCCATGAAAGTAACCCGCCGTTTCTTGCCACAAACAATAGTGACTGGACCAACTATATTGGTCAATGGTTGTTTCACATAACTTTTAATGAGACATTGAATCACCAATGATTTACCTACTTTTGGAGGACCAACAACAGCAACTAGTACTGGTGGTGGTTCTACAGGTGTTCTATCAACTAAAGGTATATGCTGCTTTTTTGTTTCAATATCTTGTTTCCGCCTGAATCGTCTCTCCGCCTTAATCGTAGAATTAAATGTAAATGCTTTTGGATTTCTCTGCTTATCTGACAATTCTTCATTATGTTGTTTCTTTGCTTTCTTCTTCTCTGCTTTACGACCAGCATTACGTTCTCGATGAGTCTTATGGGTTATCGTTTCACTCGACTCATTCGTCATTTTTAATTTATTTGTGGAACTAATTACTTGGAAATTAACTACACATATTATTTTTAAGTAGTTTTTTTAGTTTTCATTTCTACAGGTATTTACGTTAACGTTAAGGTTATGTTATATTCACATGTTACCCATGTCAGGGATAAAGCGAAAATGGCCACATGGCGCCTTACAAGCTAATTAAAAATTTCTGTCCTAGCGCCATCTATTCGAAAACGGCTGAAACTACTCAACAAGTTACGTATCGATTATCGACTTACCGACCAACCCACCCAGGGATAAGTCGGTAACCTGTTGAGTAGTTTCAGCCGTTCTTGTAGAGATGGCGCAATGGTCAAATTTAAATATAAATTTAAATTCTTTATATTTTTCTTGTACTAATATTTACTTTATTTATATTACTCTTAGTTAAACGACTATTCTTTTGTAACAGTGATTAACGAAGAACGTTGACTTCGTTATATTTAATTTTCCAAAGTGAAAGTTCATCGATGTAAGGGGTGGAATAAAAATGATCATCGAAGTAACATTGACAAGCCCTCCCTAGAGTCTAACGATAGTAGTAGAGAAAGCGATTGGAAAGTAATCGATCAATCGTATCTTAATTCGCACAATAGCTGGTGATATTGTAAAATTTTGACTTATGATCGATCACTTTTCGCTGCCGGAATAGAATCGTCAAATCTGTTTAACCGAATGCAACGATAGTGATCTATCGACGCAGAGATCTAAGGGGACTAGTGTTCCTATTACGATTTCTTTATCGATTTACACCATTTTGAATTTAATTGAAATTCGACCATGGTTCAAATACGAGTCGATATTGCAAGGGAAGGGGGTTAATGAGTCGAGTTTTGTAAATGATATGAAAGTAAATTTATCTATATAGAAAGATACCTAGGTAATGGCAAACTTCACGGTTCCATGTCTGTTCCGGTTCGCAGAGTCGGCACGACAGCTGTCACCTTTTAAAATCACGCCTAAAAAAATTGTTTAATATACGACTGCGGTTCCGTGTCGGTTTGCACGGCACTTGTTCTCGATTGACTTGGTCGAAACCGAATCGAATCGCTATGTGCGATTGGGGTGATTTTTAAATGGGGACGTAATTTAAGGGTGTGGACATTCCCATTCGACTTTGCAAACCTTATACATTCAATTAACATCGATCGCGTTTTTTTTTTTTTTTTTTTTTTTTCGATAGAAATAGAACATTTCTCTCGTGGGAACGGTAGGGCGACATTCGTCCTCACAAATTCAACGAACTTAGTATCGTCCAATTAATAGAGGCGTTAATTGATCTCTGATTCGTACAAAGAAGTCAATTCTATCTTTAATCAATTGTATCGAGCGATGAACGTGTCTTTTCACTTCCTGATTGGCTTGTAATTCGAGTTGGACAGCAGTTAGCCAGAGTTAATGCTTTTATCCACCGGCAAGACCCGGTGGCCGATTAATCAGGAAGGGCATGGACCGTTGGCACAGATGGTAGGGACACTGATGACTCGTCGGATTTTCAAGCGACGGAAACACGGAAATCTCGGCGGGCTCTTAGCAATTTTCCACTAGCGAAAGAAAGAAAATTCAATTGACAAAGTGAATACGAATGAGAAGACTTAGGAAGAAGGTCGCGCTGAAATGCATTCCAGAGATGGTGCTTGTGGAAACGAAAAATTTTATCGCACAACCAGAATGAGAGAAGCGAGGAAATTTCGGAAATTTACGAGGGCAAACACGATCGAATCATGATATACATCACGACACTCCCTTACTTATAGTTTCGTATTGACGATCGTAACGTGATCAGCGATAAATTCGTCCATGTAACTACTTATGTATCTCGTCGAAGGCTTTGACCATCGTCCAGCAGCTTGTAACGCGATCGCCGATAAATTCATATTTCCGATTGTCCATAGGACGAGCAACAAATCGTAAAGTATGGTCAGAGGGTGAAGGATGATAGAATTGGTGTACGCGAAGTCTGTTTCGTAGTCGCATATGCGATTCGCACCGAAGTCAAGTATTATCGAACACAATATCCACCAATTATCGGACGATTGTAGTCGCGACGCCAACTGTCGTCATTGGTCAAGCAAATCGATCAGGGATGAGGGAGTGACCATCGGACAAACCGATACAAGATATACGATCGTCTACCCTCTAACGTGGCTCTTTGTTTTTACACGTAAGACAGCCTCGGGAAATGGTATTCGATTTCGATCGACGAAATCGCGAGAACGCGTACAAGTAATTTTATGCGTGTTTACTTTGCACCGGGGGATCGTTCGGACAATGAGAGAGAGAGAGAGAGAGAGTTTCAGACGCAACTATGATGACTCTTCTCCCTAACGTTCAGTTGTTTGTCCAGGAGATGGACAAAACGCTGGACCCACTCGACACTGTCGATCGATCCGAAATTATGAATAAATATTAGCTGTACGATGAAGCTTCTAACTGGTATTACCAGTGAACTTTTAGAGCTGTGAAAAGGCTCGCGTTACGTCTCCGCTGTGCCGATCAACGAGTTAACCGAACTCGGTGCTTAAAATTTCAGCGAGCTCGAGAAGAAAGAGGACTGCGAGGAGAATCGTCGTTGATCGAGCGCGTGTACGCGAACAACTCGATTCGTGGCACGCGACTTCACGTGCGCGAGTCGCGTGCAGACCGGAAACGGTAGCCGGATACTTTAGTACGAGCGACGTACGAGAACGATCTACACCAGCAAACAGCCACGTCACCCATATTTCGCTGACGCATATTTGCTTTATAACTTACTGAATTTTCTTCTCCTCTCGTGCAACATTTTATATTATAGCGGATAATGGATATATTCCAGGTGGGCAAAGTTATTGCCCCGGCTTGTAGAATAACGCAGGAATACCGGTTCGTCGATGGACATTGGGGTAAGAATCGAGGAAAGAAGACCGACCTTGGAGCTGATCAGGCGAGCAGCAGCAGTCGTACCTGTGGGAATGCGATCCCTTCGGGTTAGCGAGATGAGAACTGAAAAAGGTCAGAAGAAGAGTGAAAGAAGGGTGCCCGGATGTAGAGGCGATTCGGCGCGTTTCCGAAGGGTGACGCGAATTCGGACCACACCGGGCGAAGAAGAATGCATTCAGCTCGCGGCTTCATGCATCGCCACGCGATCCAATTTTTTTTTTTTTCTTTCTTTTTCTTGCTCGTTACTCGGACGTGTGCCAAACGTGTGCGTATCGTCATATTTCTAGAGTCTTTTTCTCGAAATTGTAAGTTGTAAGTTTACTTCGTTACGAAGGTCGAATAGATATACGAGAAAGTCACCCCCTACTCGTTGGATAGACGGTCAGAAATTAACGATGCGATTAATAAATCGGCTCGGTTCCCAGGCACACGGTCCCGCCGATAATCGTGCGAGCGCGTGCTACGTACCATTCCTGTGTGACCTTTATCGCGATCGGCCACCCTCTCCCTCGTATACGCCCACCCTTCGATCAACTTTTCTCCTTGTCGTGCGACCATCAGAGTCGTGGGTGCCATGGGGGGACGCTCGTAGCGATTTCATGGTGGCGCGGAAATTGATAAAAGAGGGATGATAGACAATTTCAAGAAATCGAAGTTACATATCTCAAGATGAAAGAAATTTTTCAAGATTCTTCAGAATCTTTCGTTCGAATAAAATTCCATACGATTCGAAAATGATTAGTGAAAAATTTTCAAGAAGAAATTTCAATCGAAAAGTATCCCTGGTAATAGTCGATCGAGCAAAACCCAGCAGATTTCAGGGAATCCCGTCTCGGGAATGGTCGAGCTAAGCGCCAGCAACGTTCCCACGAAAATCGCCCCCTTTTGATCGTCGCATTACGATCCCCCTTTTTCTCGGTGCCGTCTCTCCTCGCCGGCAGAGTCGGAGGTTGGGGTTGGAGAGGGTCGCTTTTCACCTTGCGATCGAGCGGCAAAACATACAAGTTTCCCCCACCAAGCGTACCTAGTGGACGCGCACCTAGTCCCCCCACCAGGAGAACAGGGCACGCGGTCGTGTGTCGTGCCCGAGTCCTCCCGCACACGACATACGTCGGCCGCCACGCGACCCGTGCACACGCCTTGCCGTTGCTCCGCGTTTTCTCGCTAGTAGCAGGGCAACGGGCACTGACCAACAGCCGCAAAGACATCAGCCGCGAGACAACGCCGTCCTTCTGCTTACTCGCACGCGACCGCGAACGTCGTCGGCAAGCCGCGGCACGTGAACGCGGATCCACTTACTTCCTTCCTTCGACGACAAGTGTCAACTAGGATCAAATCGGATCGCGCTTTTATCAATTTCTCTTCTAGAAATACTCTAACGCGAAGGACATTTTTTTTTTTTTTCAAATTTCTTTTCTACCGTCAGTGATATTTTTCATTTTCGTCTTTCGTCGCGTTGTGTCATCGAAGATCAAAGAACAGTGGAATGACGGTAGTGGATGGACACGGCGGTGTCGCCGTAACGAGCCACAGGTAGCAGCGAATCCTTACTAGCTGATCGACTTTTTACCACCCTACCACTCGGCAAGTTCTATTTCTGGAGAATAAATCAACGTGCCTTCATCGAAAGTGAAATCGACCGTACAAGTTAGCGAGAAAGAAGAAAATGTGGAGAGTGGTGGTCGCGCGATCGGACGAGAACAGCACTCTGCTGTCGTCGGAGATCGCCTCTGGTCCAGTCGGACCTGGTCACATCTCCAGTCTACCCGGACCGCCATCCGGTCACCATTGGGGTTATCCGCCGCCCCCTCATCCATCTTATCAACCGCAACACCCTGACGTGCGACATCATCATGACATGCGACCACCACCGCACGACCTTCGACATCCGTCGAGCGTCGGTGATCCGAGGAATCAGGATATCAGAAGCCACGAGATGCACAGGCCGGATCTGAGGCATCAGGCCGAGATGCAGAGACACCAGGAGTTGCACAGGCCCGAGATGGCCAGGCATCAAGATCTGACGGCTATGAGGCCGGATATGACGACGGATATGAGATCCGCTCACGAGTTTCCCGATCTCAAGATCGACGTTAATCAAGACACCGGGCAACAACAGCAACAGCAGCAACAACAAGCTACTCAACAAAGTCAAACGCATCAGCAGAGGAATTTGAAAAGGGCTATGAGCGATTCCGATTGCGACGACGTGTTCTCCGAAGAAAGTGGCAAAGAACCGTAAGTTTAAATCGAGGGAATCGTTTTTTAACTAAAAATCAAAGCCAACTGTTGCGACCTTACATTCGTTTTCTTTATATCTGAAACGAGCCTATTGATAGGTTTACGTTTGAGATTTTACCCTCCCCTAACATATGTCCAGCTCTTTCCACAATGAGGCGGTAATTAAAATCTGATTGTTCTGTAAAGGGTTAGTAGCTGTAAGAGAAACATAATCATTCGATCTGGGTATCCGTTACCGCGAAACAAACATTTCCTTTCCAACTTCGAACCTACATGAATTTGAACAGCGAACAAGGGAGATTCGTTCGCGTCACTCTTATCTTCTATTTTCGATGCAGCTGCAATTCGCCGGGAGGCGATTCCTGTCAACACGCGTCGCGGAAGCGTCGGAGAGGGATGATCGAGAAGAAACGTCGCGACAGAATAAACGCGTCCCTCGGCGAGCTACGAAGATTGGTACCCGCAGCGGCGAGAGATCCTCACAGCGGTAAACTGGAGAAGGCGGAGATTTTGCAGCTCACCGTCGAGCACCTACGAACACTGCGAAACAAAGGTGAGCTACCAACGTTTAATCGTTGCCAATCTCTCGTTACAAGCTGGGAAACATCTTCTAAGGTTGCACGAACCGAGGAACCGTTCGTTTCCTGTTTCCTCTTTTGAATCCGGTCAAATCATCGGAAAGGAAAGCAACACCTGTTGCCCGTAGGTACCTCCCGTATAACTGTATAACTCCATCCATCTGTCGTTTCCTGGAATATTATTATATTTCAAGTATAAAAATTAATTGGTTCGCAAGGATGATTAGTGGGATTTGAAATAAATAGATAAATGACTCGCGAAACGAGGTATCCTCTTCGGAGCAGGTGTTGGGTAGAAAAGAGAAATCCTGTGGGAAGGACAGGAAGTCAACGACTCTTCCGAAGTGGTGTTCCCACGATTGGTGGCGAGAGAGCTAGGCGGTAGTGGGGTGTCCCGCGTGGCACCCTTCGTGAAGGAGGCACCGAGTTGCCCACGGCTGGGGCAGATGTCGAACCCTGTGGGAAACCGACTCCCGTTTTCATATATACCAGCTCACACGCTCCTACTGTATACGTGTATACACACTCCGGTTTGTTTTATATCCTTAAGTCTGCGTGGATTAGATCGCTCCGAATATTTGTAAATAACTTGATGGAGATTAAACTATACAATGCAAAAAGTATTAGTGCTTTAGATAATTCGAAAAATTTAGAAAATTTTTAAAATTTCAAAAATACAGGAATTGTAGTGTTACTTAACGTGATGAGATAAGAGTGTCAGTTGATTGTTCGAAGATTTGTGTCGGTGCTTGAAACGAGGGGGGAGGCATATGTCTTGATCTAGGGGGGTCTAAACGGTTCCCACGCTACCTGTCCCACTGTTCGCGTATATGTACAATGAGCTGCCGGCTGTCGAACCTACCACACTCCTCATCCTTTTTCCCTCCATTTCCTTTCCTTTCCTTTCCATCGAATGGCATTCCGCTTGTCGGCTCGCCAATCCAGCAAAGCACCACCCTTAAAGAAATACTCCCGTTAGCGAGATAATTGACGTAATGAAAATTTCAGGACCAGAGGGCTACGACAGCACGAAATTGGCGATGGATTATCACGCGGTTGGTTGGGGCGAGTGCGCTGCCGAAGTTGGACGGTATCTGGTGACGATGGAAGGTCTCGACGAGAGGGATCCTCTGAGGTTACGATTGCTCTCTCATCTGCAAAGTTTCCATCGTGAGCATGCCCCGTCCGCGGTTCCGTCCTCCGTTCCACCGACTACCTTGACCTCAAGTACATCGAGCAGCAGCTACGAACCGGCCAGCACCGCGTCCACCGGAATGCCAGCTGGACCGGGAAGCATGCCACCCCTTCTGGGAGGAAGCGCGCTCGGATGGGGACAGTATCCGGGACAGTATCCCCAACAGCAACACGGGAAACCTTACAGGCCTTGGGGTGCCGAACTAGCCTATTGACCTGCGATCGATCTTTAACCATTTCGCTCGTAATAATCGCGAATCGATCAATGGAACTTTATAAATAGTTTGTTTATCGCTTATTTCGACGCTCTCGAGGAAATCTGAATCTGGTAAATCAGAGTTTGGCAAATAATATTTTTATTCATCGAGCTTCGAACAAGCGAGAACGAGTGTATTTTTTTACGTGTGATACTACTATAGTCGTACGAGTACCTAATACAAAGAACGATGAAAGATATTTATTTTTCTGCTCGACTGGAGAAATCCAGCGAGCGAGTAACATTGTACAGTGTATATAGTTATTGTATATAGCGACGAAACGCGACGATCATTACTCGTTGTAATTTGTATCTTTTGTATTTATCTTTATTCTTTTGTATCGAACGCAGTCTGATGGTTTGTGATTGAAATATTGAAGAAATCGAAAAAATGAATAAAACCAAACGTCAAAGAAATAGGAATCGAATGCGTGATACAAGTGCCATTAAACGTATCCGGGGTATACGTGTGAAGAAAAACGCTCAAATGTTTTTGCAATAAAAAAATGACGCAAGCAAACTTTATAGATCTTTATTAGAAAATCCACGATTTTCTTTGTAACTACTCTTACTCCCCCTTCTCTCCACTGTCTGTCTGAAAAGAGATTTAGCAGATATTTTCAACGTGGTCCGACGCGAACCATTCTTATGCAAAAGTTGAAACTTTGCAGCTTGCCGGGATGAACTGTTCGTCGTAACGAAGAACAAAAACAAGCGTACCAGCTTCCCTTTCGCATTGTACCATGGCGAACCAGTTTTGCAACTCGTTAAATCTCGCGTGAAAAAAAGAACGCTTTCGCAATTATGGAAAAATATCGCGAGACTGACGATGGTGCGGTGGGAACAATTAGTAGCCGTAAGTTTTTTTTTTTTTTTTTTTTTACGGACATTCAGGAAACCACGGGGAGCAAAACTAATTCTTGAAAAGAGAAAGAGAAGGTACCGCCACGCTGGCCACGTGGCCATTGTGTACCCTTAATTCCCTTCTCGGACCCCAGCTTCGTTTACGATAATTGCGCGAACGCGTGTTCTGAGTTTTATTAAAATCTTACGAACAAAAATATGTGCAATATATTTTGCGTACTATCGGTACTTCCCTTTTCAAAGAAAAATAATTTTATTTTCGTTTTGATATATCTAAACAAGACCTGTGATAAGCCATATATTACCATCAATTTTCCACGATCGATCGTGGCCAGTAGAGGTACTTTAAAGTACGCTATTATCTTTCGTGCGATAATGCGATAAATGCAAACGAACTAGAGGGTTACGGTAACACGGTGAAAAATCATCGATAGAATTATTTTATTTACGAGCTTATCATCCATTAAAAAGTCACAGCCTCGTCGGACATGATTACAATGAAACATCGAGACGCATCAATATACATTCACGTACGTATTACCATATATACATTCATATACTTATGTACACGTATGTTTAACAACTAAAAATCGTGATCGTCGAGGTACTTTACAAATATGAGGGAAACGAGTAAATAAAGATTGTGTTGTACAAGAAATGGATCTGTTTCTACTCTATTTGCGTAATCCTTCTGGATTTTCCACGACAATGAATACTATCCTAACATATATTGCATAATATTAATCTTAACGTTTAAAAACATTGCTGCGAATAGAACTTATTTACAAGTTTCTTCCGCAGACTCTGTATATCTCGTTCACTCTCCCAAACGAAAATACCCAGATTAGAAACTACCTATCTAAATGAGATCAAAGTAAATACTTGCGAAAAGACTAGCTTCGAAACGGGTCAATTTACAAACGACCGGAAGATCGATAAAAGACGAAATATTAAATCTTTTTCGATGTCTCAGCGAGTATTTCGAGTTGGAAAAATAAGAATCCTCAGTGTAGGCTTACGTTTTATCAAACTGGACGTCGTTATCGATTAAAAATGGAACTGATATAATGGCAACCTGCATTCGTAAGACAATAATTCTTCCTAAATTCCGAAAATACCCCACGTACTCTCGTTCGTCTACCTTGTAGAGTGCAGAGGAAACTCTTAAGTACTTTCATAAAATATGGACTGTTTTCTCCTTAAAACAGAAATGTAGTTAAAAGAAAAATGAGAACGAGTGTGAAAATAAATATTAATTGTAACGGTGCGCGTGTTAAATCATCATTTCGTTCTCCGTGTTCTCGTTCCTCTGATTTTCTTCATACTCGTCGCAGTAGCAGCATATCGACATGCAGTCGGAATCCGAGTTTTCGGACACGTATGTCGTATACGTGTCGATGCTTTTCGTATCCAGAGATGGTAAAGACCAGGAGAGAGACGCAGTCTCGAGGTCCGGTATGGCCGAGTGCCAAGAGGTCAAGTTGCGTGACTTTTTCGCCTTGCGGCTCTTCGTCGACAATTTCTTGATGGCCTGGAAATCCAACAAACAGCTCGATGTATTACTCTAGTACATCTCAATTTTCTGATAACATCAAGAGTTGATAGAACTCGACGGAATAAATATTTTCGAACGTTCATTAATCCCAGGCAAACAGTGCACCACAAGTGCACGCGTTTTAAGGCTGAGGAGAGCATTAAACATTCAGAAGTGGCTATAGTAATGGGATGTTTTAATAGCGAAATGGACGTTCATAAGAGTCGGGTGTAGTTGAGCGAATCAATCGTAAGCGAGGTCGTACGATCAAAATTACGTATGAAAAACTATCATTTTATTAAATTTTACAGATCAATAGAAACGTGTCGTACCAGCTCATTTTTCTTATTTTCTAATCCTACATTATACCAAACGTACTGAAATGTTTATTTTAATTCAAAGTATCATTGAATTTGTTAAATTTTACAAAAAAGGATTTATAATAAAAAAAAAAGGAAAGAGCGTTTCTGTGTGAAATTGTGCTAAAATGAAAATATATAGAAAGCCTGGTGGCCAGGTAGCAATGCGATACGCGAGGTTAAGAAATTAGGTCGTGCGATGCGCCAGAAACGTGCGTGCATGCAACAGCCGAGGAGGATAATTGTCAACGTCTTACCCTAAGAAGTCTGCGACCAGATTTGCTCAATAATTCCCTCAACATATCGACCAGAGGATCCCTCGATCGAATCGAAGCTTCCTTTCGATTGCCGTGAAAATTGAACGCGTCGCAAAATTGATTTTTCAGTGGCACGAACTCTCACCGTGCCAATGATTCGAATCCATGCGAACGCCTTCGCGTCACGCGACCAAATACCGCTCCAACACACCGCGCCGTTCTATTTATCGCTGTGCCGCTACCCCCACCCTTCGGCCGTACGCGCATCGTATCTAGTACTACTTCCGCGTATGAGTGTTCGTACGTGTAATAACACCTCGTAAACGCATAGGGATAGGATGCCGTCCGATTTCTTTTTTAATTAATTAAATTCATTAATTCCTCGCATCTATCCCTTCGTGAGATACCTTTCCATTTTAATAAAAATATTTTTTCTTCTCTTGATGTTCGATAAGATACGAAGCAACGATACGTTCGTTGACTTTTCAAGCGGATTTTACGTCAAAGATAAGTCGAATATTGAGACGAAAGGAGCAATTTTGAAACGGGATCGGATTAAAATGGAAACAGCTCAGAAAAGAAAGTGCGAGGCGCGTTCATTGAAAAATCGGAGCGTGCTGGGCGCGTGTCCGTGGCCATGGTGCGCATGCGCAAGCGCGGAACTAGGCGAACCACGTATTACGCACGTGCGAGACATAACGCGTGTGAGCGAAGTTGTTCTCACGCGACGACACGCGGCCATCGTCTCTCCCCGATGCAAGTCGCCACGTGCCACCTCGATGCGCCCACGGAAAACTCATAATTGTCATAACATTCGAGCTGTGTACTCACCCCGGGGAAACAGCAATACCCGCTGCTCGATCTACGAGAGTACTCTCTTTTTTCGTTAAGCCGATGCTTTTCGTCCACCACGATAAATCCTCCCTCCTTCCCTTCTTTCTTTCCTTCACCCTTTTCTCCAAACGTTTGCGATACTTCATCGTGCGACACGCGTTCACCCCCGTCGACTACTAAACCAAAACGTTCATTCTCGATTCTTTTATAATTACTTTTAATTTCAGAGCATGAGGGAAATAAGAAAAAAATCAGATTCGGTAACAGATAAAGTGACAGAGAATATCAAGACGTCAAAGGTTAAACGAGTTAAACCATTCAGAAATGTTGTCGCGCAAACGACGTCAGCAATTCTATCGCCCAACCAATGACGTCAGCGTGTGCACCTGTTTCCCGATGCCCCTTAACTAGGGCAATATCTGAATTCGCGTACACCTATGCATAAATGTATAAATGATATAGGCGTATACCTATACCACACAAATCCATTTCATGCATTCGCTACGTTTTAAACAATCCTTCTCCTGTTATTTTTCAATGTTCGAATAAACGAACGAGCGAAGTAACCAAATCAGCTCGACACGTGTCGGCTCGTTCTCTTTGCGGTTAAACACATTTCGTTAGCGCCTATTCGTTAACCCCATGCTTTTAAAAGAAAAAGTTCAACGAACGATTTAGATATCGAAGAACAAAGATTCAATGGTACTTTTGTATGTTCCGCGAAAGAATATCTAATAATTTTGATTAAATAAAGAGCAAGCTAATGATTTCTAGAGGAAACAATCGGCAGGAACGGTGGAGTAACGAGCGACGCGTGCCGGGTCACGTGTCTCTGAAACGTTCGCTGAAACATTACGTACGAGGTGGTGCGCGCAAAACTAAGTCTCGCCTAATTGCGACGCCACTTCCATTAGAGATTAAACTTCAAAAGGAGACTTAGACAGATTCGCACAGTTAATTGAAACGACTCGATGAACCGAATAATATTCGAAGTAATCGGCTAGCCTGTCAGCGATATCCATTCGCGAAACATACGATCCACGGGAAATCATCAACATCGTTTTATCGTGTTTCTTATTTGATTATATTTAGGAAAAACACGTAGATACGTGAGCGTCGAACGATAGGGGCATCGAAGAAATACCATGAGCCTGTTTGTACGCTCGATAAGGGTCAGATGTCACGGTAATACGGTTGTTTGACTAACGGTAGTACATTACGCAGATTCGAACCGGTCATTCTTAATCTCTAACTGTTCTTTTCACCGTCACGTATTGCAAAAGTATCATTACATCAATCGAACGTTCGATTTAGCGCAAATATTTATAAAACCGTCATCGTGATGTTCGTCACGCGTCCTGACGACAATGGAAACGAACGAGAAAATATTGATTCGAAATTTTCTGATAACTGAATTGTTTGAACATTTGCAAAAGATTTTGTTGAATACACACTGCTACCTGTCCACGTTACCGGTATAGATAAATAGATGTGTAGGTGAGCACAAAGCTCGATTCTTGTAGTGTGCGCGGAAAAAGGGAAGCAGTGTTAATCCTGTGGAGTAGAGAATCGCGTGGGAAACGTTTCGGCGCAAACCTCACACGCAGAATTTAACCTAACGAATCGTAGAATTCCTAATATTATTCCTAATTTTAATAAATCTCAAATATCT